TTGAAAAATTATCTTTATGTAGTTTATAATAAATGGTTGTAATTGTTTATTAATTTCTATCTATCCATTAAAATTTGATACGTATATCAGCTTAATATGTATCCGTCTGAACAATTATTGTTATTACACTCCCTGTCACATCTTCATAGTTAAGCCTGTAAGCATGGTAAGTAGGAATCAATTTCAGTTGAAGGGGACCAAAACCAAACATTTTTCAGTTTCATTTGGTGGGGAGGGGGGGGGGGTATAAACCTCATATGATTATTTTATCTCTGTCACTGAACTGCTGAAAATAATGAAGGGAACTAGACTGCGAGAATGATTTGTTTACAGAATTAAAATACGAAATAAATTATCATACATACGAAATAAAATAATTTCATGAGAAAATGAAGAATTTCCAATTGCTTAAAAAAAAGAAGCTTTTCATGTATGTGATTTACAATAAATGGTTGTACTTTTATATTTTCTATATATCCATTAAAATTTCACAGTATCAGTATTTCACTATTTGTAAACATTAACAATAATATTAAATAAATGTTACACTCACTGTGGCTTTGACTGAGTTACTGTCACATCTTCATAATTAAACGAGAATATTCCCTTCCGTAAATATTGCTATATATATCTGAACTGTTACCAATTCATCTTTCTTTGGTGAAAGAAAACCTCAGGGATGGAGAATAGGCCCGTACGTAATTTAGTTGGAGGGGGGGGGGGTGAGCACAACCAAACAACATTTTTCAGTTTCAGTTTGGGGGAGGCTACAAACCAAAAAATTTTTAATAAGCAAAAGAAAAATACATTGTCAGAGTTTATTATTGAGGGGGCCCAAAAGCAAAAGAAAAATAGATCATCAGAGGTTATTATTGAGGGGGCCCAAGCATAAAGGAGCAATGTTTTCTATAGTATACCTAAATTTCAGCAAAATTACAGGGGGCCTGCCCCCTCCCCCCGTTCCTTCAGCCATGTATTGTATCAAATCTGCTTCACCCTGATTCAGATTTTTTTTACAGCATATATATTCTATTAGCAGAGGACCACATTATATTAATAAACAATTATTAAATTACAGCTATTTTTTTCTTACAGGGTCTGTTTATATTCATTTATACTATATCATGATGATCATGTCCTGCATGATGTTTACAGAAAGTTTAATTTAAATTTTTAAGCTCGAAATAGCTGCGTCAACTTGCGAGACTATTTTTTCAACGCTCGGCCTAATCTCTAAATATTTAATTTGTTTGTGGACTTGCATAAAAGAATTAAAAAAATATAGGGGCCTATCATTTAACTTTATTTCGAATTTCCTTCAGGATTTTATATACCGAACTATAGTCTAACGATTATTTAAAATCATACTTTTTCTCTTGAAAGCTAAATTACTAGGCAAAAAAAAAAAAAAAAAAAACAACAACAAAAAAACCAAACGAATGTTTGTCTTGTGTATTCTTAATTACAACTTATTACTGTATCATTTTAGTTACTTACCCAAATTTCTCAACATCCATGGTGTTCAGAGGTCATTTTCTGAAAACTGAAGGGGCATTCCGATGGCATTCGGAACAAATGACGGAAAGCACTTGCTAAGAATTCAAAACATGGTTCATAAATTTACAATATTTTTCCTTTTTAGGTTTTTAACATAAAACATGGAAAACTAAGTTAAAGAAACACTCATTTGAACAAATCAAAAGCGGAAAAAATATATATGCTAGATTTTTTGTTTAATTGCATGTTTTTCATGGTCTCCAAAATGCAGAAAAATTATCCTTTGAAATTATACGTAGGTTATAAATTCTTTTCTTTTTTAGGGAAGATGATAGAAATTAGACAACTTTTGAATGTTAAATAACAGAGTTAAAGATTAATAATATTTAATGGCAGACTGTTTATTTATCTATAAAAAGACATTTGCAATACTGATGAGGTCAAAATAATAGGGAGACCGAAAAAGGTCGCCTTAATCCAGTGGTCTCCCTAAGCCAGAAAATATATCCTCCTTGGTCTCCTAAAGCCATATGTCATATATATATATATATATATATATATATATATATATATATATATATATATATATATATATATTAAATAAAATACAGTAACTGTTGTAATAATGAACCTTGTAGCTCTAATTCTAAAGTCTATCCGGAATTTACATTTACAAATAGCGGTTATAGTAAAGTTTGACAGGAATGTACAAAAAGGTCTCATCAAAGGTCTTAACTTAGAAACTGTCAGCAATATACAAAGAAGTCTTATACTAAAGTCTGACAGGAATGTACAAGGAGCTCTCATACTAAAGTCTGGCAGTAATTTAGGAATAGCTGTTATAATACAGTCAAACAGAAATGTACAATTAATAGATCGTATACCAAAGTTTGTACCTAGCACCTGTCAGGAATGTACAACGAAATCTCAGAATAGAGTCTTTACATAGAACTACTGTCAGGAATGTACAAATCCCATACTTAAGTCTATACCTAGCACTTGGCAGGAATGCACAAATAGCTCTCATACGAGAGTTTATTCCCAGCATTTGACTGGAGTGTGTAAGAGTTTATTTGTAATCTTGCGTAACATATGATGCTTGAAGATTTATTACGTCATTGCTGAATTGTTATATTTTATATACTCTTGGTTTTATTTAATTTCTTAAATAAAATTATAATACAATTTTAATAATTTTAAAACTGTGCCCTCATATCAGTTATATAGTTTTAAGAAGTACAAGAGCCGTTCATTTCTACGATAAAATGTTTTCTTTGGTTGTTAGTATGGAAAATAATGTTGCATCTGTTGCAGAAATAATATATAACCCGCGTAAGCGAGTTAGGAAAATTCTAATCGTAATATCTGCAACATTAATTCCTATGCTAACAAAGAAAGAAAGACATTAGTGTGTATTTATGTCTGTATAAATAATCATATAAAGTAAGACTGATTACTTTAATTATTGTATTATTGCAGCCCGGAGGACCGGGCTGCTCTATACATATAAGTTTAAGTGTTGGTATATGGGGATTGAGGTGGGAGAAGTTATTCAGAATTAAAGGTTTTCTAAACATTAACAAGATTGTTAATCAGAATGTTCTTTCCCTTTATAAATTACGAGATACACAATATATTTACTTCCATAAAGTGAATCTGTAAAAATATATATGTTTTTCATATTTAATATATAAAGTTGCATATCATTTACTATCGAAAAAACGACAGGTCCCTTTTTTTAGAACATCTAATTTTACTTATCGCATAAAAACGTAAAAACGTACTTTACACAGTTCGTGTTTTATTATCTTAAAGTGAAAGGCATTTTTGAAAATAGGTGATGCATGTGTCTGGTTTCAAATTATATTTTATGCAGCCAACATTTACTTGAGGAATTGATAAAGTTTAAAAGGGTATCGTTTTTGTTCGATTTTCATCCGCCTATAAGTTTTCAAAATAGTCTCTACTATCGTCTCCATCATTTAGACGCATGCCTTTTTCACACATATCGAAGCGGTTTGATGATCAAGACTCATTTCCATTGTTTACTTTATTTATTTCCCGGGCGACAATTGATGGTTACATCAATGTTTTCTTGTTGATATTATGTGCGTCATTGATATGTTTCATTCATGAATGAACGAAATTTATAAGTTGGCTTGTTAAAGGAACCTGGACACAGTGCATTGTTTACAATTCTAAATGTCTATTTTAAAAAAAAACAAACAAACTTCAGTTTAATGATTTGAACTTACTTGAATATTCTAAGAATTCAATGACAATGACATTCTTCATAATATCACGTCAAATGCCAGTGTTTGTAAACAAGGCACGAGCTCTGTTATTGTTAGTGTTTACGTTTTACCGGGTGTGTTCAATTTGTTTAGTCTGTACACATCACTGAGCACGGACGGACAATATACTTGTGAGTTGGTTTTGCTTTCTAACATTTCTACTCTGAACTTCCTGGATTATAGTTTTCATAAATACACAACAAAATTTCTGCTTATGGATATATTATGTTTTTATAAAGTTTACTTTGTGGAAGTGCAAGGAGATGTGTCAATCAAACGCATCCCCAAAAACGTACTTTTAATAATTACAAGATAAAAGGGTTTTTTTTTATCACGCTTTAAACATATTTCGGTGTGAAATTGCTGTAGCAACATATGAACCATTATATTATTTAGATTATTTAGAAAATTTTAGAAAATATGAGCTTCAAATCTGTGTCCAAGCCCCTTTAAGCGGTGTTTACTTACAAACGACCGTGTTTTTCATAAGAAATAAAGGAGATAATATTCAGTGGATGTAAATTAATACTTTGCATTTACACTATTGTCAACCTTTTTACTTAACCATTGTAAAATTCCCGAAAAAAGTTATTTCCGTGGGATATAATTGGTATCGTAATCTGTTGTACAATAAAATCAAAATCAAAATCATCGAGCTTCTTCCTACAATTAATGTTTTGATAAGCACTATATTGTTTATATCTCGTTGGTTGTTAAATGAACAATTAATCTAGATCTGATACCGAATCATATGCAGGGCTTTCTGAACTTTTAAGTACATATAATTCCCATGAGTGACAATACATACCTGGTACCTGCGGCTTACAATGAATCAGACCACACAAAAACAGGAAGGCAATGAAGTGTAAAGTTAAGTGCAAAATTAAACATAAGTATATAAAACACCGCAATTCTCAAAGTTTTATTAAACAGATGTTCTTCAAAACTTTCCAAAAAATGAATGTTTCTGTGTCGTATATTCTAACAATTTTCATTTTATTTTTTAGATATTCCTTTGCATCCAGCTATGAGCAAAATTGTAGTTTTCAAAATATATCCACTGAAACCTTTACGTGTTCATTTAATGTCACAAAAGAATGGAATTTCTTTGAATTTCGACGATGGCTGAATTCATTTTTGAAAAATCCTCAGGAAGTCATATTAAACATTGACTGTGGCCATGATGGTTCTCTTATTATTCCCAGACGGATGGCAGGAAGCTACGTCACAAATTTCAACATCCGGGGATGTTTGTTGGTAGAAGATTATAAAACCCAAGATCCAGCTCTAAGTGTTGAACTGACGACAGACGTCACTTTAGAGAACTGTGTTATAAAAATTAACTCGTACGAGTATGTTAAAAATCAAATCGAAAATCTCTCTGCAAGGAACTGTGATGAACAATTATCATTAAAAAGTGAAATAATGCGTAACGTATCTTTTACTTTTACAGAATTCAACAAAACACATTTATCAGTAATTCTGAAAGACGCCGGGGTAAATGCAGAAGCCTTTGCACAGGGCATTTTGAAGGCAGAGGAACTTTGCATCTATGAAAATATGACCTATTATGAGCGCTCGTTCAATAATCCAAATTCAGGAATGCATAATAATCCCCATCTTCAGACACTCTACAAAATGCCAAATCTGAGAGTCTACAACTTTTCTAGCAACAGTCTTCTTCAAATTCCAAGTACACTAAAAACAATTCGTTATTATTATCCATCGTTGGAAATCCTGGATTTATCTAATAACAATGTAAAAGAAACTTCCTTTTCACAGTTAAATTCATCTTTGAGTTCTGGTCCATTGTATATCGACTTACGAAACAATAATATCACAAACGTTAGTGAAAACCAGGTACAAGAGTTCTTGGAGAACGATGTAATAGTTGATCTTAGAGACAATCCCATTACGTGTGACTGCAGTGCAGTGTTTTTGAAAAGCTACCTTTTGCGAATTTCGACCGCATGGCCAAAGTGGGCGACGACAGCGGATATTACATGTAGTCAACCATCTAAACTAGTTGACAAGTTATTGGCTGACTTTGATGACGAATTCTTATGCAATAGCCACCCTTAAGAAAATAAACATATCATTACTATATATATATATATATATATATATATATATATATATATATATATATATATATATATATATATATATTAGTGGTGTTTGATTTATAGCTTTATAATTTCCTGGTACCTCAATAAAAAAACCCTTTCATTTTGACAACTTGATTCTTGTTTTGTGTATATACGTACAATTTATGATATTCTTTTACAGTCTCAAACACGGTTTAATAAATGTATGAAATCTTTTGACGTCAGGTACTCCATCAGACCACCTAACTGAAATGTTATGGGTTTTTTTTTTGGTCTGTTAGTTAGATTCTTGTCAAGACATTTATATATATATAAAACAGGAATTTAGAGAGTATTGCAAAAGATATATGTCTCTTTCCTGCTCCGAAAAACATTGACAATACATATATTCATATTTTTCAAAATATACGTTTCTTGGAATCCTGCAAATTCAGTTTTCTAGCACTATCGGCAGTTGTCATGCTGTGAGTTTGTTGGATTAATCCCCCGTTCATTTCAACACATGTACTTAATTAAATTTCATGAATTTATTTCCATATTAACACATTACATTATAAGCATGCGAACACCACGATTCTTGAAAAAAAAGAATTTATTTCACATTGCAGCAATAACAGCAATAACAAGTGAGACAGGAATAAAAAAAAAACTGTCAAACAAAAATGTGTGAAATTTGAAAGTACTTTCTTTTCATAATCTATATTTTTAAATTTATTTTTATATATTCATATTATTGGAAAAAAACAAACTAACATTCTCCATTTTAGACAAAGAAGGCCGATTATTCCATTTAAAAGGGCCAGAGATCTATTAAACTCGAACTTTATCTGAATCTCTCCTATTCACAGTCGTGTACCAAACGATATTCCTAAAAGTTTTCTTTACTAAATGATAAAAACCTGTTGTAAATGATTCATTTTTAATATACTTATCACTTTTTGGGACTTTCAGATCCTTTAAAGAAAAAAAGAAAAGAAATGGTGATCAATAAACAATGGAAAAGAAATGCATAATTTTTTATGGACATAAATTATGAACAGAATGTTTTGCTAGAAAGAACGATTGATATTAAGTTACTAAGTAGGCAGTTTCTCATCTCTCTATCACTGAATTATCGCATATAACGTCACAGCAGAATGGCGCAAAAATCCGATTGAAATATGCATATCGCCGTTTTTGAATTTCAACTCTAAATTTCGCTTAAAATATGCTTACAGCAATGTTTATTATATTCAGTAGTTTAATAAAGAAAATTGCAGATATTTTTTTAATAAAAAAAAATATGCTTGATGACATCTACAAAAGGTTAACACATGAGTCAAGGTTTTGAATCTGAGTTTATCGGGATACAGTTTGTGGGCTGTCAGATATGTACTAGTTCACTTACTGTTCTTAAGGAGTGTGAAAAAGGTAAATGGCTTGAAGGCATTGAATTATCTATTTCATGCCATTTTCATTTATTTAATGGTGGTTTTGTAGAGTATTGTTTATTACAAACTTTAGACAATTTCATCATGGGTTTGTTGTTGATTTTCGCATGTTGTTCATCCACCCGGCAAATAAACAAATAAACGATGTATGAATTTAAAAAAAAATTATGAACCATCAGAAAGTGTTCTTTTATGTCGATAACACATTTGCTCGCTAGATGACCCCATATAGAGCCTTTATAAAGCCTGATGTACAATGATTATTACCCATTGTTCAGTTCAAAATGCTGATACAAACGTGTTTCGTGTTGTTAGTACTTTGGAACTCTGTATTTTCTGTACCTTTAAAAGAGAAAGATGAAGGTAATCTATTTTTGAAATTGTAGTTAAATGACATATTCATTTGGAAGATATGCACTTATGATTTTTTATGTTTAATTTATGAAAGAAATTATGATTATGATTATGATTATTATGATTATTATTTTATATATATATATATATATATATATATATATATATATATATATATATATATATATATATATATATATATATATATATATATATATATATATAAATTATCATTGAATAGATTTCATTAAAGAAGAAGTCCGAGAATTACTGGAATTTTTAAAGGAAAGCGAACCCGAAGACAAAGCTGCGGTATTTAGAAGTTAAATCTTTTCTTATGTTTATGTGTAATTAACATTATTTATAATCTAAATTTTGAACAAAAAAATGTATTTGAGTATTTAAGTTGTTGATACTTATTAGTGAATTTGTAACCAAATAAATTTCCCATTTGAGCATTTATTTTACAATTACGCACAAATTCTTTTGCAATCTTTATTGTTGACATATTAACAGTTCTTTAAGCCATCAAATGTTTTGGATGATAATTCTGACTCAACCTGTTGATTTCTTAAACTTATATTTGCCAACAAAGGAATAGATGCTGTTAGTATCAGTACCTTAGTCTTTGAAGTCTTGTAAGGGTCATTATTATAAACTGTATTTTAAGAGAACTTTTAATTCTACGTCTGGAAATGATTCAATCCAACTTAGACTTTAAAAATTCCAGTCAACCATGATCAATCTACCATCCCTATACTGGATTCCTAAACTTCATAAAAATCCTTCCAAACAAAGATACATTGCCGGGTCTAGCAATTGCTCTACCAAGCCCCTATCTTTACCTCTTACAAAAGTATTAACCGCTGTAAAGGAGAAACTTCAGAATTACTGTGGTGCTACAACATATTCTAAAAGTGGTGTACATCAGATGTGGATTCTCAAAAACTCATAAGAACTTTTAGAAAATTTAAAATCACCAATTTTTTCTTAAGTCAATAACATCAAAACATACGACTTTTCTACACTTTAGACAACCATTCCTCACGGTAAATTAAAACCCAGGCTTTATGATAGACAACTGCTTTTTCAATAAAAATGGAACTCGGAAATTTTCATATCTTGTAATTGGTTATCAACAAAATTACTTTGTAAGAAATCACTCTGTTTCTACCCAAAAGTACTTTGAAGTTGATATTTAAAGGATGCTGGAGTTCATCATTGACAACATTTATGTAGTCTTCGGTTGAATTTCGATGGGCACTAATTGTTATTAGCCTATTGTTTTGATATTCCTATGAAGCAGAATTTATTCAAAAACCTATATGAGAAGAAAACACTTGCTGTGGCCTCGATATTCAGATATTTAGACTACGTTTTATCAATTAACAATAGTCATTTTCATTCATATGTCTACTCGGTATATCCCATTGAACTCGAAATAAACGATACCACAGAGTCTGACATATCTGTTTGACTGTATGACAAAGGAAATGACTTCAGCTTTTCCATCATCAACTTTCCTTATTTATGCAGTAATATTCCGCTATCACTTGCATATGGTGTTTACGTCTCCCAAGTTATTCGATACTCAAGAGCATGCTCCGAGTACGATAATATTTTTAACCGAGACAGGCTACTAACAGAAAAGTTGATGTTACAGAAATTTCAAAAATCTCGTTTAAAGTCAGCATTTCGTAAATTCTACGGTAGTTTTAACGACCTTGTTAACAAATTTAAAATATCATTGGGTCGTATTTTGATTGACGTGTTTCATACAAATTGTTAGGCCTTTGATTTTATACTAAATTTGACTACTAAATGTTCCGTCTACCTGATCAATTATAGGGCCCACGGTGGGTGTAACCAGTCAACAGGAACCAGGTATCACCTCTGGAATTTCCAGGGGTCTGTGTTTTATGCCCTGTTTACATATTTGTATTGTTTGTAGATTTTTTTTTAGATCAATCACTGTTTGTTATCGTCACCTTTTTCATTCTATAAAAATTATTCGATCAATTTTAGGTAATTTTTTTTTTCAAATATTTAGTTTTATCGCGTAAAACTTGATTTTACATTTTATGAAACAAGCATTTCTCCGGTATAAAATCACCCTTTACAACAACAAAGGGTATGACTATGTTTATACTGAATTTGCATGAAAGAAGATAAAAAATATGAATTGTAGTTTTGTACCATTGATGATTAGACTAATAAATATCTTGATTTAAAATACCAACATTTCGATGTAGGGCCTGATGCCTCCAGGGGTTGTAGCATAATCTTCTTCAGTTCTCTTTACATACAATTTATTCACTTCGTTTGTTTGTTTGTTTGTATATTGTTTAACGTCCCTCTCGAGAATTTTTCACTCATATGGAGACGCCACCACTTGCCGGTGGAGAGCTGCAAATTTTGTCCTATACTCGGTACTTACGGCCATTGAGCAGTGAGGGGTCTTTTTCGTGCCAGCACCTACTGCGACACGGGACCTCGGTTTATACGGTCTCATCCGAAGGACCGGTCTCCACGTTCCACAGTGGGATTCGAACCGTCGACGTAAGGATCAACTCCTTACTACGCGAGTCTAGAGCAGACGCTCTAACCACTGCACCACGCGGGCGACTATTCGCTGCGTAATTTTCAAACAAAAATTTTGTTTTACAGGAGAATATGTTTTGAAAAGTAATTTTTTTAAATTCTTGTGAACATTTTTAGGGAAAACTGCAATTTTACTCAGATTTTACTAGACGCTGTCGGGTAACAATCGAAGAAAAATCAGTCCAAATATTGCCAAATATTCACATTCCATACTCGGTTTACTTATAATCTACATGTACTTATACACTTCCATGTACCCATGGATCACAAAAATGACGCCACAATGTATAAAGATGTGTAAGAAGAAATATCTGTTTTAGAATATTTATTTAAAGAAAATACAACTATATATCTTAGTATAAATGTAAGATGGTAGATAGATATATATGTAAGCATTAAATAACTTTTGTGTCAGTGCTATCAATAACACTCATTGTGAATCCACATCTTGAAAATGCGCTGACGCACATTACTCTGAAATTATTTTGATTCGTTGGGGGGGGGGGTGTGACAATTTTCGGTGGTCATAAAAATTTTACTGGTTCGCGGGGACGTAATTTTTGGGTAGTAAATATATATACGAATGATTCCATCGTTATTCTGACGAAGCCAGTGGCGGATTTAAGGGGGGGAGGGGCGCTCCCGGCGCGCGCCCCCTAAAACTGTCAAAGTTAGCGTAAATCATAGTTTCGTCGAGAAAATGTAAAAAATATCTACTCGGTAAACCTCGTTTTTACCCTACAAAAACTCTACAATCCAGGAGCCTCAAGGCGGCCCCCAGACCCCCTGCCTACTTTTGGCACCCCTTCTAACTTCAATTCCTGGATCCGCGCCTGAAAGCTATTTTTGATGGGTATCTACCCAATAAACATTGCTCTCCCATGAACAATGATGATTCCACAGTATTCAGTTTAATTTATTTCGCAGTAAAACTAAAGAGTAGAATTACTCATTAAGTGCTGCTTAAATAAAATATTTTCGAACATATCATATTTTGTACTCATTTAACAGAATTTTTTTTATCTTTCGTATCTCTTTTTCTTCGATCTTGTTATTAAAATTTTGAACCTTTTACCATGCTGACTTTGGATAAAATTTTCTTCGAAAATAAATTTATTCTGATGTTCCATTGTATCATTTAGAGAATCGACCACGAAGAGAAAGGAAGGAGACTTTTCAAAAATTACTTTGGACAGGAGGATCTCGATTTGACCCAAAAAAGAAAAGTCAAGAAAAATAAGGGCCAGAAATCTACTGAGGAAGGAGGTCTAAAGAAGCTTGATAATCAGGAAAAACACAGCAAAATGATTGACGAAGAGGTAAGGACTCTCTCTCTCTCTCTTACAATATTGGACATACTGTTAAATTCAGAGAGCAAAAAATCTGTATAACGTTTTTACGAGAGAAAATCTTATACATACGTCTAGAAGAATAAAAATATCACTAGCAATAAAACAATATTTCCTATTTCATATCTTTGAAAAAAAAATGCATATACAGTATCATAATATTACATTGTATTTCCCATGCAGTTATGGGTGCATGCACATTTTTGAATGGAATGTGACACAAAAAAAAAAAATGAAATATAGCATCAAACAGTTGTGAAGACCCAAAGAGGAGAAAACAATTAATAGCAATTTTAACAAATATAAATTGTAAGATATTCATAACAATGGAGACAAGGAAAATCATTATGTATTAAATTGTGTTTATTGAAGTGAAAGATTAAGGTTCATCGATACTCTGATAAGAGAAATAACTTTTAATGACATAATTGTCTATAATTCCTTTATAAATTTGTCAAGTTGAAGTGTCTTTTCTGTCCATTTTTGCCCCGCAAGCTATGCTGTAATTGTTTGTATTTAACTTTAAAAATATATTTCTTTTGGAAAATTATAAGAGTTAAAAAAACTATATGAGTGAGTAGAGGGTTTATGAACCTTAAGTCACTGTCAATATAATTTCGTTGTAGGAAGTTGATCCTGACGACGTACGGTTAATGGAGTTACTGGAAGGAATGGCAGTAGAGAAAAACGGAAGGGTCTTCAAGGTGAGCTTAACCTACCTGTCAATCTTTAAAAACCCTCTGTAAAATATGATAAGCCTCCGGGTATAGACTCGGTTGACTGTTAATTTTTTCCATAATTGAATAAACATGGACTGTTTAATCAATGAAGCAATTAATTGAAGCTCGTATAATCTGATACCCTTAGGATAATGTCTAGTCATTTAAGCGAAGCCTGAACTAGTTTATCACATAATTGTTTGAAAATAAAACAAGTGTCAACAAATACTGGTGCTGAAGAAGAATTTCATCTCTTAATACAGTTTTCTATCAGAGAACAAAGTTTGACGATATGAACTTTATGCATGATAGAAATATTTCATTAAAAAATATACTGCAGATATTTGTGTGTCTGATTATTTGCCTTTTGTCCTTTTACTTGTTTTATCATTTATTTGTAGAAAAATGACCTAAATAATGATTCATAAAGTTTCATTTTAATAATTCAATACTATTGTTTATTCTAAATCGCTATTACCCCCCCCCCCCTCCAAATCGCAAAGTTTTCTTTTGTTAACAATGGATTACAATAGAAAGCAATAATTTACAATAATTCATATATAAATCTTTATGTCTACTCTCTACTATGACACTTTGACTACTTTAAAACTTTGCACTAGGCATTAATTTCAAAGATTTAGATAAAAAAAGGCTTGATTGTTGAATATGCTAATGAGATTGGAACTATTCAATTCTATTTCCCCCCTTTACCCAGTATTCTGTTTTCTTTTCGTTTTCTCTAAGTTATTATGAATGAAAAGAAAATATTTATGTTTTGAGTGAATGTATAAAACTGTTATATTTTAAAGGCCAAAGGTTTGCATCCCAAGTTGTCCATGATTGCAAAAGGTCAAGGTATGGACAAGCACCCCTTAACCTCAGAACAATCTCAGATAGAGCAGATTTCGGGAGATCAGGTACTACTAGTATTCTAATGATTTTGTTCGAGTGAGAATCTCTAAACACACAGTTAGTTTCAATCGTATCTGCATGTACAATCCTCATATGAAAAAAATATTAATGTCATCTGCATGTACAATGCATGTACAATCCTCATATAAAAACAATATCAAAGTCATCTGCATGTACAATGCATGTACAATCCTCATATGAAAATAATATCAAAGTCATCTGCATGTACAATGCATGTACAATCCTCATATAAAAACAATATCAAAGTCACCTACTCTTACGACATTTTTATTAGTCCCCTGCCGGTGAAACCGGAGGGGACTATAGGTTTCCTCTAAGTCTGTCCGTCCGTCTGTCTGTCTGTCCCTCTGTCTGTCTGTCAGTCTGTCCCACTTGGTTTTCCGCACTTTTTTCCTAAACGCTTGCTGATATTGAGCTGATTTTTGGTATGTGAGTGTATCTTAATGAGTTACAGATCAAGTTTGCATTTCGTTCCGCTTCATTGATTTTTGACGGAATTACGGCCTTTTCAATTTTTACGGGATTTCCGCAATTTTCTTCTAAACGCTTGTAGATATTGAGCTGATTTTTGGTATGTCGCTTTAACTTGATTAGTTATAGATCAAGTTTGCATTTCGTCCCGCTTCATTAATTTTTGACGGAATTATGGCATTTTCAATTCTTAACGGGAACCAGATTACACTTGCCGGTAGGGGACTAGTATTGCTAATGCAATACTCTCAGAATGCTTGTTTTATTTTATGGCAAAAGAAACCTATTTAATATGTTGCGTGCAAATGCTTTTACGATCTATTGACTCTGCGCTTCAGGTACGCAGAAAAAAGAGAAGTTTTTGGAGGGCAGCTTGGAAGTGGCCGAAAAATATCGTTCCTTTTGACATAGACAACAACACTATAGGTAAGCCCATGGTATGGTTCCATAAAGTGTAATAGTATTTGTTTATTGTCACTGAAGTTAAGAAGACATTTACTTGGCTTTGGATTGGGTCTAATTTAGTCAAATATCTGGATTTCAAAACTGCGTTCATATGGATAATGCTAAGAAGTGAAATTGCAAGCTTTTAAAAAAAGAAGCTGTCCGTTTTTCACGAATTTCACTCAATCCGAAACATAGAACATATATCTATCTATCTATCTATCTATCTATCTATCTATATATATATATATATATATATATATATATATATATATATATATATATATATATATATATATATATATATATATATATATATATATATATATATATATATATATATATTTTAAAAAAGAATTCAAGACAAAACCTAGGAAAAGGGGTGGGGGTCCTTTTCGATTTTGTTACTGAAGTAGCACTGTCTCAGAAATTAGTTGAAATCTTAGAGTTTTAGTTCGTTACCACTTAAACAAACCATGGCTGCATCGGAAAGTATATACATATGTACTGTGAGGAATGTTTATAGATCTATAATATCTTTTGTCATGGCAATAACTATTTCCCGCATTAAAGGCCTGTAGTATCAGCAACATGTATTAAAATATTTACTTGATAAGATAAAAAATAGCAAGAATTCATCACAATGTAACCAATATACATCTTGAAGACATGATGATAAAATGATGCTTTCTCAATAATATTGTAGAAAACATCTTTCTTTCTGCTATTCATTTATATATAGAGCAAACATGGGTAGGGTACCAGATTTTCAACATTGTATCAAACCATACACGTTGCAGTTGCTTGAACAATATTCATGGAAAACTCCCATTTTTTGCAGTAAAAGAAAGCAGCTACGCTATCTTCAACAAAGCAGCTGAACTCTTTAACAATTTAACCTGTCTTAAGTGGCTGCCTTACACACCGGAACTAGCGGAACGAGTGGGTCACAATAATTATGTACAATTCCGTGATTCAGAGTAAGTATATGGTTTAGATCTATTTAACCAGAGTTCTTTACATTCTTGTAAAACCCTACTCTTTTTTAAATTTTGGATGTTATATCTTGGTAGTATGGAGGCATATATACCCCCTCCCCCCCCCCCCCCCCCAAAAAAAGAAGAAGAAAACTGATTTCAAATTTTCTGAATTACCCCCCCCCCCCCAAAAAAAAACTTTTTCATAAACTATCTGAATTATTTCTAAACCAGTTTGTAATGGGGACACATATTTTGAACCAGCCTTTATGATAGTAGCTAAAAAAAGAGAGAATATATTTGACAATAGTCTCCTTATATACAATTTTATCATGCAACACATCTAAATGTATTTAAGAAAATAAAAATATCTAAAGCACTTTTGGTCGAAATACTCATATTTGAGGCCAACACGTAAGATTAGGGCTGGGACGATACAACTTTTTCTATATCGATACGTATCCCGATATTTGAGCCACGATACGATATGTATCACGATATGTTTAATTGGTTATAACTTCTTTTTTTATATTGAAATGAACAAAACATTTCTTCGCAAATAAGAATAAATTATTCAAAGAAATTGTATATCTGTTGTAAAACTTAATTATTTTGCACAAGTGATCTTAATTATTGTGTATTTCATATTTATATTTAAATTAAGCATATTTATTTTAGATATCAAACCCAAAATGTTAAGTAAACAAAGAAAAACATGAGTCAGATTTTTTTGGGCGATATGTCGATGTTTCTTCATACGTATCGATATGCGTATCATCCTCACATTGAATCGATATTATCGATATCTCGATATATCGTCCCAGCCCTACGTAAGATTGGTTTGTAATATACCTTTTTGTAGCGGATGTTGGTCCTATGTTGGGTATATAATGTACCTTTTTGTAGTGGATGTTGGTCCTATGTTGGGTATATAATGTACCTTTTTGTAGTGGATGTTGGTCCTATGTTGGGTATATAATGCACTTTTTTGTAGTGGATGTTGGTCCTATGTTGGATACATAAGAAGCAGTCCTCAGGTGATTGGAATGTCACAGAGGGGATGTATGAGTGTAAGCTTATTAATGACATAAATTATTAATACACTATTAAAAATGTCAAGATCTGAGAGGAGAAAATGTTTGCTCACTAAAGAGAACTTTCAAACTTTCTGTCAAAGGACCTCTTGGTATACTTTTTATAATTTGCTTAATTTTGTTATTAATTTTTTTTTTATTATTTTTCAGATTTCTGTTTAAAGGAAGACCAAATCTTAAAACAATTTCATACAGTCTTTCATTAAACAGAAAAGATGTGTGAAGTATGAATTGTGAAGTATGAACTGTTTTTTGAAGGTTGGGATAGCTGTGCATGAGATGCTTCATGCCGTGGGTTTGATGCACGAGCAGTCACGCACTGACCGTGACGACTACATACGCATGATCAAAGAAAATCTCAAGCATAACTTTCACAATGGTAACATGGCAAAGACTAGCACTTTTGACCGCAATGCATATGACTATGAAAGCATTATGCAGTACGGTTTATGGGTAAATATCTATACAATGATCATTTATAAACTTTGAAAAAATATCGTACATTTAATTACTAGTATCATCGGAGAGCAAATTCATTATTATTTTAAATTTGAACCATAAACATATTATAAAAATTATCAATAAATTAATTTTGTAATTAAATAAACATGCTAGTAATGATTAACTGATATTTTAAATCTCAATTTACAACACTGTTCAATTGTGAAAACTTAATACCAAAGAATATAAAATGAATTATTTCAAAAAATTTACCCATTTCAGTCCTTTTCCGTCACTGGAGGTCAAACAATGGAGTTTTTGGACAGAGATCTGGAGTTTCTGGCTGGGACGGGGGCCGGGGTCGGTCTTGATTTCTATGATGTAAAGGATATAACCGCAAATTACCAGTGTGCAGGTGAGTTTCTGTTGACTTAATAGTTTAGATATCAACTGGTTTTCGGGCCTTCCAAAAGCTGTTGACAAGCTTTTCCACTCACTTATAAACAAAATTGCCTTCCCACAAACATTTCCTGCAAGTCTGCTCCAAACATTTGCTGCAGACTTGCTGAAATGAGGATTAAGTAGGATGACAGCCTATACAAAGCCTTTATGTTTGCAGCAAACATTTACGCAAAATTGGTTTGCTGCAAGTCTGCAGCAAACATTGGGTTTTCCAAATATGGAAACCCTCTTTGGCACAGTCATGCATGTTATCATTAAATTCGCAGAAAAGCTATACCCTGACCTTATTATGAAGACAATTCATCACATATGTCTGAAACTACCATGTAATATGATGGACGTTTCTTATAGTCTATCTTAACGTTAGTAGATAATGTTCCCATATAGGTATTTGATTGAAATGTAATATAAAAGGTTTACACGCATAATTATTATGTTTATGACAGAAACTAGACACTAGAACCCTTTTTCATATGACTGTTTAATTAGAATAAAAGAAAAATTATGCTCAATTACCAATTTATGTGAAAAGCATTTCACAGACATTTATAATGAATACTGCATCTGTAGGAGAGTGTGTGAACCCACCAAGGTGTGAGAATGGAGGATTTGTCAATCATAACTGTGTCTGTTACTGTCCAAAAGGTTACCAAGGTGACACGTGTGAAAATGTGATCACTGATGATGGTAATTAACAACTTAATTAACGATTAAAGTATCACAGAAATAGTAATTGTTTAATGATATAAATATACATGTATATGCTATTTTAAGAATAAACTGAAAAGAAGCTTACTGCAACAATGTAGTTTTTGGGGTTCTTTTTGAAACAGAAGTATTAGTAAGGTAAAGTCAACTTAAATATCTTTTCCCTCAGAGTTTTAACTTTTCTTTTGTACAGTTGTATTGTCTTTCTTAGTTATTGCACGTTCTCTTTAAAGTAAAATAATAGTTTCAATTCATATCAGTGAAGTATCTTGAAAAAAATGACCATTTGAGTATTTTCGAAGACTGTGGTGGAATGATAGAAGTTCCTCTCGGTAAAGATGTATTTGTGACGTCACCAGGGTATCCAGTATCTTACCCAATTGGAAAATTATGTAGATGGGGCGTAAAGGTTGGTATGAAACTCTTCCTCACATGTTTTTTTTCAAAAACTGTAGTCATATTTGCATTTGGCTGAAGTTAAACTTATTGCGTTGGAAGAAATTTTGATTGAATTTTATCTTTTACAAAAACTACAGGCACCCGAGGGATGGTACCTTCGAATGACGGTAGAAGAACTCCACCTGGCGGACAACAATTTGAATAGATGTTACCATTGGCTGGAAATCCAATATAACCTGCCAGGACAGACAGGAATCAAGTCAGTACTGTAGTTGTTTAGTATACTTTAAAATACGAATAATTTAATTTCGAGAAGTTTGATTAAGACTGTGTCCACTATATATTTATGAGATATAGTAACCCAACTGAAAAATTTCCATAAAACTAGATGATACTTTAGTAATGAAATATTACTACCGTATAGCGTGTTATTTTAGCGGAGGTGTTAATTTTGGCTTATTTTGGCGTTTTGGTAGTGGTCTGATAAAATTTTAATCGCTAAAATATTCAGTGTTCGTCTTAGTGTAATTTCGCAAAGAGTTGGGACCCTGAGTCCGCGAAAATAAATTACCCCAAAATTATTGACATATCTTTAGCCAAACAAAACGCTGAATTTTACACCCGCCAAGAAAACCCGCTGTATCAGTACGGTGCTGACTTCTCTTGATCTAGATATGTGCATGGTAAAGGTAACTAAAATAATCTACACTTTGTTCAAGTGGACATAAACTCTTCCAAACTAAATACAGTGATTTGTTTTTGAATCTGTTTTAACAACGCCATATTTTTTCTTGTCTTGGTGAATAAGTTTCACATTTTCTTTTTGGTGATCAAAATTAGTATTCTGCTGTGCATTGTGGTTTCTGAATTGCAAATCTTTCGTTAAAATATCTAATTTATAACACATACGCATACTTGAATGTCACAAAAAAATATTCCATTGTAATGCGTGTGTGTGTTTAAAAAACACTGAAAGAAATTTGATGGGAGAAAGGGAGTGGGGTGGGGGCGAGGCTATACCAACCTTAACATTTTATAATCTACACTACACTGTTATCCCACAAAATCTGAAAATTACATAGCAATTTCTTTCGAATCAAAAGTAAAAAAAAAATATTTATGGATATTAGCGTTATAATACTGCACTAACATAGAAATGGAATAGGCCTGTAATAAATTTTTATTTTATTGACTTAAATTTATCACCAAGTCTTAAGAGTATGCTCTGTAAAATTAAAAATAGATTCACGTTTATATGGTCAAATTTACCACATTTAAAAGTTTTGATTTTCGGCTTATATTTTTTTTAAAAATCAAATTTGGATTTTTTTTGGTAATATACATGTACCACTAAGTCTGGAATTTCTCTTTCTCTGATGAAAAGCTATAATTTCTGCAAATGGGTTAATTTAAAAAAAAAATGACCAAACATATATTTTTCAACCTGCACTAAAAGTACAGGCAATGGGAATAAATTTCTATGTCTCAGCTTACGTCTTTAGATAGTGTCTAAATACATGCGAAATATCTAATTGATATCTCAATTCACAAAAAAGTTATGCCCCAAAATGATGCTTGAAATGTCAGGAGTGCAACACCTTATTGTGACACTTTGAAAATTCAATATTTTTTGAAGATCTGTGATAAAAATATTAATGGTTTATGGTGGAAATAACGACTTTCCTGATAATATTCAAAGTATTGAGCTTTAAATGTAGACTGTAGCAACTTTTGTTTGACCAAGTTGTGGCCATGGCTGATGTTAAAAAAATGTTATATCATGTCAGGAGTGCAACAGAAAAAATGTAGTGTTGCCAAAAAAAAAAAAAAAAAAAAAAAAAAAAAAAAAGTCGATTTGAAAAAATTTGCAAAATCAATCAAGTCAAAAAAGAATTTTCAAAGTGTAAAACAATAACTGATGTACAATTTAAAACTTAAAAATGTTATATAAATCACAAGCAGTATAAATGAGAGTCAACTATCTGTGCATACCCAATAATGTCAGGAGTGCAGCATTTGACGTTTTATTCCCCAGCATGAAAAAAAAACTTTTATCAGTATATGATTCTCTGATTTTTATTTTGGAAAATAAAGAGACAGAAAACATTTTTACCAAATAGATTTATCAATTACAGGGTATGTTTGTGTTTCAGATCTATGTTTCTATGGTCAGGAGTGCAACACATTTTTTTAAAGATTCAAGTTATACGATGAAAAAACTTCTACTCATGCTACGAAATATTCTTTAATTAATAATGATCTTTTTCAATAATTTAGTACTAAATTATTAACAGTTTTATTATTAAAATCCTTCTCTTTTTCAATTTGATCAATTCAGATGTGTTTTTATCTTTTCTTTGATTTTTTTAAGAATGTGAAAAACGCAGATATTGAAAAATTGTTATAAAGTTCAAATAATTCGACCTCAACTTCACTGAAACAACAGAACAAGTTCTGCTTTAATTTTCACTTCACGATTCTACTTTAAAGACTCCCATGCTCTTGTTCAGGAGTGCAACAATGTTAGAATTATTGCTTATCAAATATGAATAAATATAAAGAAAAAGAATGATGAGTAGAATGTTTCTGGTTGACCTCAGTTGCTTACAGTGTTTGTCCTGTGAGGGAAAATATACTATAAAATATATTTTATCTTCTAAATATATATTTTAGCTAGTTTTTTTTGTATTTTAGAAAGTGTTTTAGGATAAAGTGATATTTTCTTTTTGCAAATAAAGTTTTACTAATAAAAATTCTGAAACTGAAACACCAAGTGTTTTTTCTATTGCAACTTCAGTAATTGCAACTAGAATGCATGTACAAAACGATGATATAAGTGAAAAATATGTCATGGGTAGTTGAATTTTTTCAAAAAAATTCAATTTGGTGGTCATTTTTTTAAATTCACCCAAATGTGAATAAGCTTTATTTTCTGTTTTACTTATATGACCCGGTTTTTGTGAGATTTTACAATTACGGTTTCTGTTAGATTTACAATTATGCTTGACATTTCTGTGCTGATAATTTACTTGAAAGCTTTTCTGGTTTGTTCATGAAGTTATACCCTAAATTTCTGATGATTAATTAAACTTTCAAGATAGATCGGGGATTTTTTAACTTGAAAGAATGTGATTCTCTGCTGATCTGTTATCTGAACTTAGTTACAATAATTATGACCATAAATTTTGTTTCGTTTTGTTTTATTTACTAAAGTACTAATTTAGAGGTCTGGTAAATAAATTATCAATAATTCAGCTTTTTGCTTTGTTGAATTGGAAGTAAGCCTTCTTTTCTATTCAGGCGCTGTGGAGATATTATTGGTGATCAGTGGACGGGATCCAAAGACAGTCCTAATTTTATGACGATTACATTTGACAGTAAATTTGTACAGGACAGACCCGTAGAAAAGGGCTTCAAACTCAGGTTTAACGCTGTTGGAAGAGGTTAGGCTAAGCATTTTATAAAATTGAAAGAAATTAAATTGGGATTTGTCTATAGCATACATAAATAAAACATACTAAATCTAAGTTGCATATTAATATTTAAGTGGAATAATGGTTATTTACTCGAAGAAAAGTTACAGGAAATAATATTGCCACTTCCACTTTTGTTTCCAGGCCTAGTCATAAAATGTAAGAAAGTCTCTAGACAAAAGGGTCATATTTAATAATTACTGCGAGAATTCATACTCTGCTCATGAGAAACATTGGATAAGATTTTTCCTTTACATTTATGTGTTGAATTTTGGATGAAGTCTGTGGTCCACTCTGATTTCTTGTGGGGATGGGAAACTTTTATGTTCATTTCATAAATTGATTTATCGTTCCACCCAAAAGGGCATTGAACGATTTCTGGATCTTGATTTACCCTTTTACAAAGCCTTGAGGGTGAAACTAGAATATACCCGGTGTGGTATTCGTTAGGTAAATGTCTGATTCTTTGGTTTATTTTTCTTGTCTGTTATTTAGGATGTAAGGATAACCCTTGTGTATATGGTACTTGTCACGAAAGCAAGATGGATTGCCAGTTTACGTGTTCCTGTTATTCTGGTTTTGAAGGAAAGTTGTGTGACAAAATGTCAAGTAAGTTATTTTTCTCTTACTTATTACAATACAAAAATTCTTCGTCCAGAATTGTATGAAAAGGACATGGTTGGAATAGTGGACCAAAAAGGAATAGAAGTTAAATGGTGGATCAAAAATGAATAGAAGTTGGATCCATTTAAAGTGAAATACTTCACTGCCTATTGAGACTCTAAATGACGGAGACAATGTACGTGAAAATAGCAAGTGTAGTGTTAAGTGAAAACAGATTAAGCAAAGTAGCCATGTTGGGGTCAGAAAACTTCAACTGGTAATTGAAGCATCCTAACCCTATTCTGGCCATTGAGGATCTAAAGATTTAATGTATAATCACATATTTTCAATAAGACACATGAAGGGAAGTAGATATATGAGTATTTACCTATTTGAATTTGGATGGTGTAACTCTTTGAAAGTTGTCAATCCCCCCCCCCCCCCAATAACGTCTCAGACATGGTTTACAACATGTTGCTTAGTGCCTCGATGTTCTTTGCATTTGTTAGTATACTATTTGAATCCACATAACTAGAATGGACATCTAGAAATCATCTCCACTTGTGCATTTCATACGATTACGTGTACATCAATCCATCTTCGTAGATGCATTTCACCTTTAACGATTTAGTTAAACCTACACTGAACATTTGAACAGGTGATGCCACATTTGAGTGTACTTTTGAAAAGACGAAATGTTTCCTAGACAACACCAAAGAAGGAGACGACTTTGACTGGGCTGTTAACTCGGTAAGTAATGTCTGTAATTTATACTTTGTTTATTCTAAATCAAATATAACATTTTACGCTCATTTTTGTAAATAATTATCTTTTCATTGAATTAATTTAAATCTTTACTAGGGCCCAAGTAGTTCACAAGGCACAGGGCCTGATAAGGCACACAAAGGAAATCGGTACATTTTTGCAGAAATGTCAGACCCTCGAGTCAAGGGAGAAAAGGCATGGCTGGTGTCTAACTTGGACCTGCCAGGTATTTCTATAAAAAATTCTAAGTCCCCTTACTCAATGAAATTTTTGGATTGAAATTTTTGGCTAAATACTTTTAACTTGTTTATATACATATATTTGTCAACTTTAAACTTATGCATAGCACCATGCAGACATAAATATAATACACAATTCTTGTGCTTAAAAGGCATGATAGTGGAAGGTTAGTTTTCGTTAATTTCTGTTGATTTTACTCAACCTAAGGAAGATCCATATTGAATTAGAATGCATACCATCAACTTTAAATTAAGTGATATTTATTTTCTGATATGAGTTTGACAAAAGTTTTAAGTATATTGTACTTGATTGGTCCTCCGTTTTGCGAGATCTGATTCTTTTGTAGCCTCAGAGAGATGCCTTTCTTTCTACTACTACATGTTTGGTCACACGGTTGATTCACTGAGTGTCCTGATCTCCGGGCAAAACAGCTCTCAGAGCGTCATCTGGTCTGAGACCGGAAACCAGGGCAGCAGGTGGAAATTCGCTCGTGTCAATATTCAGCAATTAGAAAAACTGAAGGTAATACGTGATCCACAAAATATTCAGATTATAACACATGGATCTGATAATCTATGCATCAGATCATCCTTTAATTAACTTTTTAAGTATATATTTTTCAAGTTTTTATAGAGATTCAAACTAGCAATGAAAACGTGTGCTCTGGGGATATAAGAGTATCTTGACAAAAAAGTTTGACCATAAGAGTATTTTCGAAGACTGTGGTGGAATGAAAGAAGTGTTCTACGAAAACCAAATCTGAATTCGAAAAAGATTATACCTGATTACGTTATTTATGATCAATATTTTTGTTAAACTAGATTGTGTTTGAAGCTGTTCGTGGTGAAGATTGGAGTAGTGATATTGCCTTAGATGACATAGTTCTTACTGTCGGAGCATGCGTAAATGGTTTGTATTTGACATAACCATGAATATGTTATAAATACAGAAAAACGTCTGAATATATTCATTTTGGCATAAATATAAAATCAAGTCTGTCAACTTTGACTTATGAGAATCAAATATTATTAAGTTGTGTAAAGATAACAAATGTTGAATGTTTTAAGTTGAATATCAATGGATAGTTGCTAATTTATGATTTATTTTGCGTTTTTTTTCTTAAAAGAATATATATCTTTCTGTCTTTGTATCTATTTACGTAGCAATATACCTTATCATATGCATGGAATTTAAGTCTCCCAGTTGATTCGATATGCAAGAACATGCTCTACGTACGAACAATTTCCAAAACGAGGCAAGCTATTGACAAATAAGTTGATGAAACAAGGATATCAACAGCCTCGTTTAAAGTCAATATTTCGCAAATTCTACAGTAGATACAGTGACCTTATCAGCAAATACAATCCTTTCATTAAGTCGATTTTTGACTGGCGTTTTTTTATGCAAATTGTTAGGCCATTATTTTCATACTGAATTGTCTGCGGATTATTCCGTTTGCCCGATCATTACAAGGGGCACACGGCGTATGTGACCGGTCGACAGGGAATGCTTCCTCCATGGCTTTTGATTCCAGCTCTGGTGTTTTAGTGGTCCGTGTTTTATCTACTCCCAATCTATATTGTTTCAGTGGACTTTTGAGCTTGATTACTAATCGTTATTTTCATAATTCATCTAAGTGTCCATCTTTTACTAGGTTCATCCATTCAACTACATCGTTTCTTTTTTGTGTGTGTTTCCCTTTTGTAAGTCTATAAATACAGGTATTAAATAAGGATCATAGGTATTAAATTCAATTGATAACAGTGTACAAGTGTATACATGCATATTAGTATTTTGTTTTCTATGTTACGAGGGTTGTCCGTAAAGGTCGTGGACAAATGGTATAATTTCCTGAATAAAGTCCGCACTAACAAAATATACAATAATATTTTAATATAAACCATGATTAAGTAAATATATAAAAATTAAAACAATACACACTATTGTATGATAGTTATAGGTGTAAATATTTGTATATACAATCCGCACGGCCCAATCTGACGTAAAGCTAATTTCATGACATCAAAAATTTGGATTTTGAATTTTTATCATATGATCATCAACAGGCGCTACATTTTCTTTATTATGCCACACTGCCAAGAGTGTGCAATAATATTTATGTATAGACCATAATTGATTTAATTTTTAAAATTCAAAACAAAACGAGCGTCATCAATATAAACAGTTCGTATACATAGGCAACACAACCCAATCCGACGCTGAGCTAGATTTATAACAACGTCATGAATAGAAATATCCTATTTTCATCAAATAACAGTGTCTCTGAAATTGTACACACCGTTGAAAAGTCGTGTAAACCAATCTCAAATCAATGAACTAAATATATTCCAATAATTCAGAGTTGTTTGAATAAATACTTTGTCTCTGACTTCGTTTCAACCATATTTAAACATAATTTTATAAGACGTTTTTCCGTTCGGATGGCCGACGTCGCTTTTTCTGTCAATTTTTGAAACATATTTCTTGCGACTTTTACTTAATATTTTCACTGTCTGTATAATAAGGCGATACTAAAGATATCAGAAAATGACGATAGCCGCTTTATTTGTAACATATTCAATTTTTATTAAGCTTTGACTTGTTTTATAAAGAAAATAATCATTTTAATCAGAACACTTTAGTTCAAAGTTTATGTTATTTTAACCCTGGGCCGTGCGCACTATCTGCAACCTTGAAAGCCCCAATTTTTACAAAAAAAAAAAATTAAGTTCAAACAAATAACAAACAAACTATTCTGACTTTGATTTTAATAAAAAATATTTTGATATGCAATAAGTATATACATGTATGTAGAACCATTCATTTTGACAAAAACGTCATTGTCCACGAAATTTATGGACAACCCTCGTATATCCAAGAATTGGATTTTTTATCGGCCCGTTTTCGTAATTCCCAACTAGATTGGGTCTTGTTAAAATTGGCAGAATACAAACAACATGTCTAACGCTGTGTTCAAGTCTCTTAATTAATATGAATGATGATGTACTAAAGACCTACTCAATTTACATACATGTAAAGTCACTTTTTTAATTATAAAGGAAATGGCTTACAAAAAATGTAGGAAATATGGCCATTCAGTATGATTGTTGAAAATGTACATATCAGTCTGCATAATTTATCATAAAATCATTCTGTTTCTGAACAATTGGCAAAATACTAATCTTCATATTGAGGGTAATTGTTAACATTTTAATTTTCATTTTTAATAAATTTTCAATTTGAGTTATTTCCATAAACATGATAAAGAATATGGTAGCATCTTGTTTTCTTATCTAATAACAAATATTTACAATTTCAAGTTCTATATTAGTCTGTGTAACCAATTTGAGTTTGAAGAATTTTTTGTAAATATTTGTAAATTCCTTTATCTCAATAAATTATTAGCTGCCAAGCTTAATATTTTTCAAAGATAATGATTAGAGAAATATTATGACAATTATATTAAAAAAAATTTAATTTAATAGCCTGGTCTTTGAAGTTTTGGCCTATCAATATGTACTAAATTTATCATTTCTTCAAAATTGTGCCAATTTTTAAGAGTTGTTTGTATGATCAAGATATAGTGACCTTCAATTTGAACAGTATTGCATGGTTTTTTGGCAGACTGGCTCTAAAATATAATTTACAACCTTTTCGAATATGAATTACAAGATTTTGCATATATATTAATCACACGCTTACGAATATGAATAAAAATAAACGATAAACTCAGTAAATAACTATACATGTAAAAGAATATACACCACGATTTTACGAATATGAATGAATGACAACTTTTCGAATATAATTCACAAATTCTTGCATATAAATCAAAAGATTTTGCACATAAATCCCGAGATATCTATGATATTGCATGCAACATTTTACAGAAAATAAAATTATTATCTTAGAATATATGTATGTCATGGACAATTAGAAAAAAAATATTCTCTTTTAATTACGTAATCAACACGCTAGAAATGATAAGAGAAAATTTGCATATGCATGAATCAAATGCATAAAACATTTTTATTTTTACAAAATATATTAAATTTTTGGTGACATACATGTATCTCTGAAAAACTGGAAGAAATTCGTTATTGTCATGTAAGAGTCCATGTGATTACAATATCAACCTTACATTGCAGTGACTGAAAATATTGAGTGTGTGAAATCAAACCGAGGCGGGGATTACAAAGGTAAAGTTAACATAACAAGGACCGGAAAGGCGTGTCAGCCCTGGGCAGACCAATCGCCCCATTCACACTCCGGCTATGCAGCCCTAGTCAATGATTCCAATTACTGTCGGAATCTTTACCCCCAGAGCAATGACTACCACCCGTGGTGTTACACTATGGACCCGAACGACCGGTGGGATTACTGTGACATACCTGCTTGTGGTACTAGTATTTGTTTTCAGTGTGTATGAAAATATCGTCTGTTTGACGTTCGATAGGTGTTGTTCTAATGATCTGTGCTGAAGATATTTTTTTTTTAATTTCTTTCAAAAAAAATGAAGCCTGTTTATATTTTTCAAATTATAAAAGTATTAAAAAAGCACATTGACCAGTTAGGAAGTTTACTTGTTCGTAATGTTTTTTGTATTGCAAATATTGGTTATGTAAAATAAATCCCACCATTTTGGTTGTAGAATATGAAGAATGCAGACGTTCAAGTATCGGATACGAGTATGCTGGAAGAGTGAGCAAAACAAAGTCCGGGAAAACGTGTCAGAGGTGGGACTCCCAGTCACCTCATGAACATCCGTATGCGGGTCTGATGGCCCACGAGAATTACTGTCGGAACCCCAGGGGGAGAGAGCAGGAACCCTGGTGCTTCACAGAGGATAACTCCACACGCTGGGAATACTGTGAAGTGCCAATGTGTAGTAAGATTTCAAACAAAGTACATCCCTTCTTTTTTCTGTTGCCTCGTTTGATCCTGAGACTGGCGTTAGTTACTGGCGTAGTATATTCTGCAAAACTTGTTTTAAAGCTGAATATATACACGTGCAGCTGGCTTAATCCTGATATGTGGAATAGAAGTAATCTGTTTATAATCTTAGGCATACCTCTTCTTAGGTTTGCAATGTTTTCAAACAGGAAAAAAGCATTAGTTTAATATTGGACTTTTGTACATTAGATACACTCGTTTAATTTACATTTAATGCTGATATATAAAGATATATATCTTATCCGTTTCAGATGACGAAGCTCGGGAGTGCGCATTGCTAGCTCAAAATATAGATTACTTTGGACAAATCAACACAACCACAAGTGGTCGATCATGTCAAAGATGGGATCAACAGAAACCGCATTCTCATTCAAGTTAGTAAGTTTAGACGAAAAGTTAAAGATTACGTGGTATGAGCACTCATTCGTTATATCTCTATTCAGAATAAACAAGTTATACTGTAAATGTACTGTACTGTTATATTTGACAGTGCCGCTGACATCTGCCCAGGAGAACTACTGTAGAAACATGGGCGGTGAAGACCGTGCCTGGTGTTATACCACAGACTCCGACAAACGATGGGAGAGGTGCAATATTCCATCTTGTGGTAATATCCTCCATATTGATAAAAGATATATATATGATATATGCATCGCTGTTCTACTACTGTTCTACTATTGGTTAAAGGGGAAGGAATAAATACTAGGATATATACGAGTACATGTATTAATCCATTCTCCATGGCACCTGATCCCACCTCTGATGTTTTTGGAGGTCCCTGTTTGCTCTGCTCCCGATTTGTATTGTTTTAATGATCTTTTAGCTTGAATACTGTTCGTTATATCTCCATATTTTATTATTATATAATATTTAAGGTCAGATGATGCATTCCTCAGATATGTGTTTTGTATATCTTTGTAATGTTTAAAAAATGTGTAAAATCATATAACCTTATGCTTTCTAAACTGGTTTCAAATTGTCTTAAAAAAATCAAAATGCTAAAATTTTTGATATGATATTGCCAATTTAAGTTATTTGCAAAAGGATTATATAAGGAAACCATCATCTGGTATCTTGCACAAATATCTGGTAAGGCACCTCAATTTTTTGTGAGTAAACATGTTAAAGTAGCAATACTTCAATGATAAAATCTTAGAAAAATTTATATATTATTTAGGGACGTATCGTCTGTCCTTAATCAATACTTGTATTTTGTTAGGTTCAGGGATGAGTTCAATCGGAATATAAAAGAAAATTACATTTTTAAATGAAGTCAATACTGTTTTTTTTTAATAATCAGACAACCTAGCGTGTTTTTCAAACCCATGTTACAACGGAGGGACATGCACTAATAATGGAGACTCCTATAATTGTTCCTGTTTCCCGGGTTACCAAGGAGACAGATGTGAAACTGAGAGTCAGTATTTCTTGTTACTTACCTGTATAACCTGAATTCAAAATTAATCATTAGACATTAAAATTCCATATTTTAGAATCCACATCAAAGCATCATGTGGAATCACTTTAGCCAAAAACTAGTATTTAAAAAAATAACATGGGTTTCTCATGTATTTTAAGTTCCATTAAGGACGGAGAACTGTAAACGGTCCAATACCGGTTGGGAGTATCGAGGAACAATATCGGTAACAGTCAACAACCGTACCTGTCAAAGATGGAACGAAACTTCTCCACATAGACATAGCTTTACCACGTCAATGGCTAGTCATGAGAACTATTGCAGAAACCCGGATAAAGAAGCTGGCCCGTGGTGTTACACTACTGACCCATATAAACGATGGGAACTCTGCGATATACCGACTTGTGGTAGGTATACCGTGTCTGAAGCAGAAATATATCAGTGTAAGCTATTAATGGGAAATATTAATATTACATTTAATCGGATTGCTTTTTTTCATTTTCGATGGAGTTCAAGGATTTTTTATTTTTATGATATTCCAAACATCTCTCATGACTTTCGCACCCCGTAGTTTGGTATGTTTATGTAATGTATGAATATATAATCAGATATTCTTATTCATGTCCATTGTCCTTAACATGATATATATTGAATGGAAAACACGCAGGATAACATAATATGCAATTATTATTTAACTGTATGACCGAAATTATGAAAAGTGATCGATCAGAGGAATACCTTTCTTACCGTGCACTAATCTGTGTTCAAAATTATAACTGTGAAATGTATCACGCCAAAAAAAAATGTCCTCCTCACCTTAGCAATGCAATAGCCAGACCCTTTTAAACTTTCGTCAACCAAGATTGCAAGAAATTCAAATTGACTGTAAAAACAAGGAAACGGTGTTTATACCTCCAGAGTATCAAGTGGTATGACAACATTTGCTGACGAACTTGGCATCATCAAACTGCAGGTGTTTTGGGCCTTTGTACCATTTTCGTGTTCAGTTAATAAGTTTATACGAACCTTTTTCATGTTGCAGACACTCCACCATCTGAATGCTTAAATGTAGTTCGAGGAGAGGATTATTTTGGCCATGCCAACAAGACTAGAAATGGCTACACGTGCATGCGCTGGGATTCCCAATCGCCACATAAGCATGGGTATAAATACATAGGGGATCAAGGGAACTACTGTCGTAATCCGTACGGAGAAGAACCTAAGGGACCCTGGTGCTATACCACAGATCCCAACAAAAGATGGGACTATTGCTCTGTTCCTCTATGTGGTAAGCGACTAAAACAAGAGTTGGGAATATTGCTCTGTCCCTTTAGGTGGTAAGTGACTACAATAAGAGTTGGGAATATTGCTCTGTCCCTTTAGGTGGTAAGTGACTACAATAAGAGTTGGGAATATTGCTCTGTCCCTTTAGGTGGTAAGTGACTACAATAAGAGTTGGGAATATTGCTCTGTCCCTTTAGGTGGTAAGCGATTAAACAAGAGTTTGGAATATTACTCTGTCCCTTTATGTGATAAGTGACTACAACAAGAGATGGGAATATTGCTCTGTCCCTTTATGTGGTAAGTGACTACAACAGGATATGGGAATATTGCTCTGTCCCTTATGTGGGAATTGACTACAATAAGAGATGGGAATATTGCTCTGTCCCTTTAGGTGGTAAGAAACTACAATAAGAGATGGGAATATTGCTCTGTCCCTTATGTGGTAATTGATTACAATAAGAGATGGGAATATTGCTCTGTCCCTTATGTGGTAATTGACTACAATAAGAGATGGGAATATTGCTCTGTCCCTTATGTGGTAATTGATTACAATAAGAGATGGGAATATTGCTCTGTCCCTTTAGGTGGTAATTGATTACAATAAGAGATGGGAATATTGCTCTGTCCCTTATGTGGTAATTGATTACAATAAGAGATGGGAATATTGCTCTGTCCCTTATGTGGTAATTGACTACAATAAGAGATGGGAATATTGCTCTGTCCCTCTATGTGGTAATTGATTACAATAAGAGATGGGAATATTGCTCTGTCCCTCTATGTGGTAATTGATTACAATAAGAGATGGGAATATTGCTCTGTCCCTTATGTGGTAATTGATTACAATAAGAGATGGGAATATTGCTCTGTCCCTCTATGTGGTAATTGATTACAATTAGAGATGATAATATTGTTCTCTTCCTTTATATGGTAAGTCAAACCAAAAAAAGGTAATAAAATTAAGCTAAACTGAAAAAATGTAAAAAGATAATGTTTTATATCTATACCTTTTTAGAAATTTTATACATAGAAAAATGTAGACTAAAAATTTATCAACAATAAGATATATATTCCTAAAAATATGCACATCTGATAATGCATGCAACTAAACCTTCTGAACAATTACTCTTGATGATATATAAGCATATAATGTTGAATTCTTGCCGGAATTATTAATACAGGCTATTTAAGACGAACTTTTGTGGAATATTTTCTTTTTGTTTTAGGTGGGAAAATCTAACCCGAAGATAGATGTCCACTCTGTTTCAGAGTGAATCATTTACACGTACTAGAAAAATGTACAGCACCTCTACGAGCGGAGTTCCCATGATGATAATATTTTTATCATTATATATTGATTAACAGTACCCGATCATTAAATCATTAACATTGTGTTTTGGATTGTTTTTTGATATTGAAGGGTTTAAGACTGGTAAAAATCATAATTTTCCATGACTATGATGATCTTAAGGATGTCAGGGACCTGATAATTCATGGCTAATTAAACTTTGTGAGCTCAGCAGATTAAATTTGTGTTGAATGCTTGGATTGGCATATGAGTGAATTTAAAAAAAAAAAGACCAATCACATATATATTTTTTAACCTGCACTAAAAGTACAGGCAAAGGGAATAAATTTCTATGTCTCAGCATATGTCTTTAGATAGTGCCTAAATACCTGCCAAATATCTCATTGATATCTCGATTCACAAAAAAGTTATGCCCAAAAATCATGCTAAAAATGCCAGGAGTGCAACACCATTTTTTATATTTTTTTAAAGGTCTGTGAATTGGTAGAAATAAATACTTTCATGATAATATATTCAAAGTATTGAGCTTTAAATGTAGACTGTTGCAACTTTTGTTTGACCAAGTTATGGTCATGGCTGATGTTGAAAAAAATGTTATACTATGTCAGGAGTGCAACAGAAAAAAATGAAGTGTTGTCAATTGCAGGGTATGCCTGTGTTTCAGATCTATGTTTCTATGGTCAGGAGTGCAACACATTTTTTAAAGATTCAAGTTATATGACGAAAAGACTTCTACTCATGCTAAGAAATATTCTTCAATTAATAATGATCTCTTTGAATAATTTATTACTAAATTATTGACAGTTTTATTATTAAAATCCTTCCCTTTTGCAATTTTATCAATTCAGATGTGTTTTTATCTTTTCTTTGATTTTTCTAAGTATGTGGAAAAAAAAAACACAATGAAAAATTGTTATAAAGTTCAAGTAATTCCACCTCAACTTCACTGAAACAACAGAACAAGTTCTGATATAATTTTCGCTTCACAATTCTACTTTAAAGACTTCCATGCTCTCGGTCAGGAGTGCAACAAATATGATAGAATTATTTCTGATCAAATATGAATAATTATAAAGATAAATTGATGAGTAGAATGTTTCTGGTTGACCTCAGTTGCTTACAGTGTTTGTCCTGTGAAGGAAAATATACTATAAAATATATTTTATCCTCTAAATATATATTTTAGCTAGTTTTTTGGCATAAATAAGGAATAATTCAAGATAAAAAGTGAAGTTTAAATTCTTTTATGTGTTTCAATCATGAGTTATTGAACTATAAATATTGAACAATTTTGTTACCACTTGATGTTGCCAGCACTTTATGAATTTTTGTGTTCTGTGGTTTGAATTTTAACTTTTACTGCAGTCAGGAGTGCAACAAAACTGTTTTATAATTATCAATGATCTTCATCTATCTTTACAAAACATAAATTAAAATTTTTTTTAATACTATTTGATGTCCAAAACATTATGGCTCTCAACTAATTACAGACATTTTACAGTCAATGTATATATATATTACACATTGCAAATACAGTAATTATATATATAACGACAAACTGATTTACAAACTAAGAATGGGTTATGGTGTATTATAATTTTTAAAACAATGTTAAATAAAATCAGATATCAGATGTCAGGAGTGCAACACAGTAACGTAACAAAGGGTCATTTAAAAATCTAGTTTTTTTTCGTAAGAAAACTTGTATGTCAAAATTCTCTTTTGGCTTAAATTTAAAGAATTGACTTAAATGGACAAAAAAAATGATGTGGGAGGAATTTTACTTTTTCATATTTCTTTCATATTAAAACTTTTCAAACCAGAATTGAAAAAATAATGTAAAATAACAATCAAAAAGCCAATTTTTCCCCCCACATACTGGTATACAAGAGCAGAAACTCAATCAAGGTTTAGATCTATCCCTGATACCATTTGGAAGCACAAAACACTATAATTTCTTTTGATTATGTATTTTAGAGAGTCTTTTAGGATATAGTGATATTTTCTTTTTTCAAATAAAGTTTTACTAATAAAAACTTAAGAAACCTTTTCTTATCCAATTGTCTATTCTATTGCAACTTCGGAAATTTGAACTAGAATGCATTTACAATATGATAATATAAGTGAAAAATATGTTATGGGTAGTTGAACTTTGTCAAAAAATTTCAATTTGGTGGTCATTTTTTTTTAATTCGCCCCTATGTGTTTTCATGTGCAATGGGTTTAAAATCGTTCCTTACAAAATACATTGCTTTGGATTAATTTTCAATCTTTTCTATTTATGCATTTGGAAATACCAGTTACACAGTCTATCCCTTTATTAGTTGAAATCGTCTATTACATTCGAAGTTGTTATCTTGCACAGTGGTCGCCCGCGTGGCGCAGTGGTTAGAGCGTCTGCTCTAGAGTCGCGGAGTAAGGAGTTGATCCTTACGTCGCGGGTTCGAATCCCACTGTGGGACGTGGACACCGGTCCTTCGGATTAGACCGTATAAACCGAGGTCCCGTGTCGCAGTAGGTGCTGGCACGAAAAAGACCCCTCACTGCTCAATGGCCGTAAGTGCCGAGTATAGGACAAAATTTGTAGCTCTCCACCGGCAAGTGGTGGCGTCTCCATATGAGTGAAAAATTCTCGAGAGGGACGTTAAACAACAAACAAACAAACTTGCACAGTTCTACATTTATATTGTTCGTGGTAGAAAGCATTAATTCTAATATACCTGCTGGTTTAGGAAAGATTTATGCTTTATCTGTAAAGCTTATAGATATTTCTAGATTCTATATTCTTTCCTTTGCGTCCTTTCTTTAATCAAATCCAACACATCGATTCTTTGCCCCCTCCCCCCCCCCCCCCCCCCACCTTTTCCTTAAAATTTTCAAGGCTATTGATCACATTTTTTTTTGTTTTAATAGGCATTGGTAAATACATCACTTCCCTCTAACCCTGTTATCTTCGTTGTTGCTCTGAAAGACCTGCACGAGTTCGAAAAGCTGAAGTTTTCTGTTCCTTTTTTCCTGTCTTGAACATCAACTGTGGGATTTTTCAGGAGCTTCTTTTTTCTATTGTTTTCATGCAAATCATTTTAAGGCACTGCACATTAAATTTGTTGATTCAGTGACCTTTTGCTTTTTTGGTTTTATCGGACGTTACTTGTCGTGTCAGTGGGGTACTGCCTTATGCTTAAACTATTCAATTTTTCCTCAAAAAGTCAGTTGCAATTTTAAATAAATATGATTAGTAATAATTTATAGGTGAATGGAGATAAATACTGTTTACCTCAATCTCCCTTTCTCCTCTATTCCCTACAAGCTGATAAATCTCTAATTTTGGTGCCCCAATTGTTAGGCCACAGTTTTTATAATTTTATATTTTTTCTTTACATATCCTACTTGTCCTTTTTGGATTGTAAACCTCACTGTTACATATAAATATTTGAAAACATTTAAGCATTAAAACGTTTCCTTTGAATTTTTTTCAAATGTATGAACAATTCCAACACTGCAGAAACATGCACAATTTTTTTCTTCCATTGACTGCTATCGCTACATTCCTTGTAACCAAAGAAAGAAGAAATTTTTGGTTTTTTTATTCGTATCTATTTGAACTTTATGGTCCTGTGGTTGTTAAAATAGAAACAGTGCCCAACATCTTTGTAAATAGATAATGACGTTTTCCCAATAAAACAATATACAAGGAAACTACACTGAGTAAGCTCACAAACTCTTCAATAAAATGTAAAGATCAGATTTAATATGTTTCACGGGTACAACTACATGAATGAAAATGATAGCATTTCTTGAAAATTATAATTTCAAAGAAAAACAGAAACAAAGACCTTATTGGAACAATAGTAATTACTATCTCTACATCACAAAAATAACCTCGAATTAGTATGTGCTAAAATTACAGTAACTCTGGGAAAATTAACCTTAATTGCAAATTTTGATGATCCTTAGCATCATCAGGTTTCCATGAGTGATCTGGTCTTTTAAGGCAAGATCACCCATGGGTGTCCGACGATGGATCCTTAGAGTACAGTCCACATATTTATGTCCACTTTTCTTTTCTAAAAACACTTAGCCTGGGTCTTCCCAGACTCCTTTTTTTGAAACAACATGGAGAATAATAATATTTAACCTAAAGTACAAGAAATTTGACATTTTTTATTGATGATTTCAGGTATAAGGAGAAATCCACCACATCTGTGGCATCAGAGACAAAACTTTTAAGCAGTTTCAGCCAGTCATAAATAAATCTCCAATTTATTTTCAATATGATTTTTTCCTTAGAAATTGACTGAACATTATGGAGAGGAGTGGAGAGGGTGTTTCTATGTCCTAGTCCTCTAAACTCAATAAATTATGGCACAAGAAAAAAAAATTGATAATGTGTATCATGATTTGAGTATTCTTTTCCAATACACCAAGGAAAAAAAAAAACAAAGCGCAATTAATCATTGCGGCCTGGTTAATTGTATTATGGCACAATTCATTTTCCATACACCTGGATATTCCAATTTTAAAATTTAACTTGAGTCATACGTACAGCTGAGAATGATACATTTGAACAAACAAATCAAAAAAAGTTATATTCAATAAGTTCCACTGATGTACATGAATTACAGGATTTCATATCCATTTGTTTTAGACAAAAAGTATGATAAAAAATATTATTTAAAACAAAATAAATATACAGCACTTAAGGATTTGAAATAATAAATACTATTGAATGGATTCAAAAAGCTACAAAACAGAATGGACAATATTTATGCATTTCATATTATTATACATCCTCTAAAATAAAATATTTGCGAATGCCAATAAGCTAAAAAGATATGTACATGTATACGCAAAGACAGTGTCAAAAAAGCAACAGCAAATTATATAACGTGTAAACTTTAATAAACGGAAAATATACCACATTATGTATGCAAATATTCAATATTTTGTACATTTTAATCCAAGTACATGTACCGTAAGAACTTTTTTGTATTTAAAGAAAAAGGCTAATAAAACTCCACAGGGCTGAACTTTGAGACATTAGATACATGCACATCCAGTCCATTATTAATTAGCAGAGTAGTAAACTGATAAAAATACATATACAATATGAAAAAAAAATGTTCTTAATCAATTGAACATGATAAAATACATAAAAGATGGAATGTATAACAAAGATGCATCACAATTAAATATATTAACACAATTTCATATAATTTTCAGTTGAGCAGAGCTGAAAAGAATTTAATGTCTTAGCATATGATATACAGAAACATAAATAACCGGTTCTTCTTTCTAAGATGTGCTCTCTAAAATATTTCTGCCTTATTGATACAGTACTATACATGTATTTTAATTCGGAAAATGTAAATTTCTTTCACTGTGGCGTGTTCTCTTTAATTCATTTCTAAAATATTCTATTGTTTTCTTTATTCCTTCAATCATTGGCACCTGTAAAAAAAAAGAAGAAGGTTTCAAGTACAAAACAAAATCGAGTATCCATGCACTTGTATCTGTAAGATAATATATAAAGAGCTAGTTTCATTATCAAGCACTATTAGATCAATGGAAATAATAAAGAATTAAATGCTTGTGTAAGTAACAAAATAACATTGAAGAAGAGCAATCATTTTGCCACTGTGCCCCTGAAACTGAATCAACTATTTTCTTTATAATGAGTTTAAGCCATGTACTGCATTCAGTAATTTAAGTAATTTCTGGTTTCTCATTACCTGGGGTGACCATTTCAGATACTTCTTTGCTTTGGTTATGTCAGGTTTTCTTTTCCTCGGGTCATCTTGCATAGCAGGTTTATATACAATCTGGCTGGATCCACCTTCAAAGGAAAGACAGAAAACTATGTTCCTCTGCAGGCTGAGGCCACAATGGGCAACTTAAGTTTTAAAAAGGAATATACAGGAAAAAGTCTTTAAAAAAATTCTTCTTAAAAGCAGCAAAGCCATGATTAGTCAGAATGATATAGAAGCATGACTTCAGGTAGATTAGTTAATCTGTAGTTACTTTATGTGCTAGTACATCAGTTTTGAATAACTTCTTTGATCAGAACTCTTCTACAAAAGAGATTAGGAAAAGTAACCAATATTGGGAAAGGGAAATAACTTGAAGGGTCACATTATTTAAAAGAGCAAGCATGTGTGTATAAAAAGGTGCCAACAAACAACTATAGAAAATAATCATTTTATTTTAGGTTAACAGGATTAAATAATAAAAGAAAATGTCATTCTTTGCTTTGCCTAGTAAAATGAATAAATTATTTTACTGCTGTATCATGGGTTAGTACATGTATATTGGTCAAAATTTAAAAAGAAAATAACAAAATTTTAAATTTTACAAGAATTTGAACATATGACTGAATATAACATTCACTGTCTCTGAGTTTTCCTTACTTTGTAAAATTAAGAAAAATATCCCAATTGTGTGAAATTTTATGGGACAACCTTCATGTAATATATTTTTCAAACCATTTTGGGAAAATGTTATATAAATAGTGCATGTTCTTGAGGGTAACAGTTGAAATTGACACCCCAAGGAAAACCATTGTCAACCGAGCAGAGGTTGACAATGGTTTTCCTTGGGGTGTCAATTTCAACAGTTACACTCAAAGACGTGCACTATTTATTTTATTATACTGAATGTCTTATTGATTTCGGATGTCATAAAAAAAATTCGGAGATTAAGTTAAGTTCACGCTTAGAAAGCTTTCAACCTCCCTGCTTCTATTTTTCTCAATAAGAAAGCTTCGGAAAAGATTTACCAATTAACCTCTTTATTGTTTGTTTACTACTCAAAAAGTCCTTTATCATCTAAAGTTTGCACTCGCAAGGATGTTTCATCTGTCGTTTGTTGTTTTCAAGTAAGCTACATCGGACGCAAGCTTTTATTGACGTCGTTTATTCGGCTTCTTTAAAACGCACAACCGACGTTTTGAGAATTCTACGGTGAACTGTACGCGCATGATTTGAACGCATGTGACATTTTCGTAAAGTTACCCGTTGTCAAGTGTGTTGCTAACGGTGAAGGTAACATTACGGATTGTTAAATGCATCTAAACCAATCAGATTTTAGTATTTAACATGAAATTATAATAAATATATTTGGGACATTTGAAGTAATTCTCTTTACATGTACCAACTCATTTGAAGGAGATTCTTTTACTTTAACTGAAGAATGTTTTTACGTACCAACTAAATCTTTGATAATTGTAGCAAAATCCACGATGGTGTGTTCCTCAGGATTTCCTAAGTTGATTGGTTGGGAGTAATTAGAATTCATCAGCTTAATAAGACCATCGACCAGGTCAGAAACATACTGGAAAGATCGAGTCTGTTTTCCTGATCCATACACCTATTCATAAATGAGTGGTCAATTTCAGTTTTTGCAATAATAGCTGCAGAGACAGGAAGCTGAATAAAAGCAAGTTTCCTAATAATCCCTTTTAGCATAATTATATGAAACAGGCCAAGAAACAACCTAAGGAACACTCATGTACAATGTACATACATTAATTTCATTCAATTAAAATGAATAAAATCACAATTTTAAAATATAAAGAATTATCACTATAGTACAACAAAACATGTTTTAAAGCAAACACAGGTATTATAAATTCAGCCTAGAATAAACTGCATGTAAATATTTTTTTCACTCGGTACTAGAAAGTTAATGAAAGATTAACTGGAAGAAATTAGGATATGGCAATACAATATCGGCCAACCTTGCCTATTATAGTAACTTCATAAGCAAAATATATTTGTGAGATTTGCATTCTTATTTTTTGCTCATGCAATACAGTTGAACTTCAGTATCTTGAACACGGATATCTCGAATACCATGGATATGTTGAAGTGATTTGGAAGTCCCAACGCCATATTCTTTTAGTATTTTACACTGGATATCTCGAATCCTTGGATATCTCGAAGTTTTTTCTTGGTCCCATTGAGTTCGAGATAACGAGGTTTGACTGTATTTAGCTGAAACCATTCATTTAAGGTTGTTCACCCCTCTGGTCCCTCACATAAAACTCTGCTTTAAGGCTAATGATATTCTATCAAATTCATGATTAAAATACACATAATTTCATCATACCTTGATGGGGAAAATTTGATAGAAATGACCTTTTAAATTGACAATAATAGTCATTTAAGAGTTATCTTTTTTATCACAGGATCAATTAACCTTAATTCCATACCTATGATAAATGTTTCCTGGGTTGCAGAAATTAAGGTTCATAGATCCTCTGATCACTCATATAAAATATTGCTTTAACTTTTATGATTTTCCGAAAGAAATGTATTTTATAAGTAAAATACAAACAATTATTAAACCAATAAAAATTAAACCAAAAAGACACTTTTAACTTGACAAATCTATAAAGGAATTATAGACATTTAAGTCATTTAGAGTTATCTCTCTTATCAGAGTATCAATGAACCTTAATAGTTATGTATGGATTTCAAACTGGCAAATTGTGAATAAAAATTGTGAAGAATAATAGTTTATTTTGAGTATGTGTATTCTCTATAGCTGTGTTCTGCTGCAAATGAGGAACACATCCTTTCAGCCAGTACTTACAGTAATATTCTGTCCCTGTAAAGCCTGCAGAATGAAGTTACTGACCACTCGGCCATCATTCATGTGCATTCTGGGACCAAAAGTATTAAAAATTCTGGCCACCCTTACTTGTACTCCATCCTAAAACACAGAATTGAAAATTATTATTTTCATTCACTTGCTAATGAAGCATTAATAACAGTGAGATGGAAACACTTAATAGATACTGAGCTGAAAGTCAACCTGCTTTTTTTAACAATAAAGTGCTCTCTAAAGCTGCTACATTCTTTTCTAAATTTTGAACTCAATAATACATTGTTCCAGTGTACATGTAGTTGAAATGATCTTAATGTCTTTAATAAAATTAAAGATTAGAATGTTAAAGTATTCTAGGCAGTGTGTATGGAGGGATATGAAAGAAGTGCAAGTCATGGATATTTCTCTTTTCCATTCCCAACATAACATTTTTTTTATGAAGATATAGTTTCCTATATTTTTTATTAAGAATCATAACACTTCAGTTAACATAATACCTGTTTAGCATAGGCATAACACATGGTTTCAGCCACTCTCTTTCCCTCGTCATAGCAGGCTCTAGGACCAATTGGGTTCACATGTCCCCAGTATTCCTCAGGTTGTGGGTGAACTTCAGGGTCTACAGAAAATAAGGAACTCAGTTATAAGGAAATCTTGGTTATATGGAATATTTCATGAATTCCCTTGGTGACCTTTTGCTATATATCTCCTATAAAGATATATTGGTTAAAAGGAAGTGAAATTTGAAGTACCAGTCCTTATGACTGAGTTTTACAGTTTATGTATTTTAACAGACACGTTGAGAGCTAAAGAAGTATTTAAATAAAGCTCTCTGGCATCAGTTTTGCAGAAAGGTTCAAATTGACAGGGTGTACTTTCTCCAGTAACTTGAGCATAGAATTGCCATATCATCAATATTTGTTACTGTACAAATTGTTTATTTTTGTGATGGATGACTGCATCAGCTCACTAGATGGTAAAAGTGAACATTATAAAACTCTACTTATATTCAAATATCAAGTGAAATGATGTAATTTATATGTAAAATATTGAATTCACAAAGCAATAAACTACCTTGTACAAGTACAAAATCCACTTTGCATCTACATGTATGTTTAAAATCTTGGAAGATGACAGAAAAATGGAAAAGGGGTACTGTGTAGAAATGGGATGTGCAGTAACTGGTACAGTAAAACTTGTCTAATCTGGATGTTGTGTATTCCGAAATCTTGCATATTACAATGTGAACTTTAACCTCCTTTCAGTAAATTCAGTAGTTTAAAATGTTGCCTAATCTGGAATGTTATCTAATCCAGTCACTGAGTTGCCAACTATTACAATTTTATCGTAGTTTTATGATTTGTCACCTTAAAAGTGCACCATATGATTACTTTTTCAATACTCAAGTAAAGACGTTGTGTGAAATCAGGATTTGTTTTACTTTTTTTGGTCAGAAGTTTAGTTTGAGGTACCAGTATTCCTCTTTATACAGAATGGTTTTCATCATTTGATTAACACCACTGATGAATATTTGAGACTAATGTGCATCTAGTTGGTAAATATAAAGTTATAGGATCTTGAAACTTTACTAAGTAAACCAACTTTAAAGTGAGTATCTTTCATCTTCATTGACTGAGGTCTTCTCAGCAGTTTGGGGCACTTGCAGACCCAGGACACTGGCTTATTATGCTTTTCTACCAAAAGGGGTTGGCAGTCTGTGATCAGTTTCTATGGAACCAGTAGTGTCAGGATTAGACAAGTTTTACTGTACCTGTAAGCAATTCATCTGCTACATATACCAAATTCAGAGGCCTGTTCAACGGAGGGAACTTTCGCAAGTGCTCATGAACATTTCTGTTGGAGGGATAAGGAATTTTGGAGACCACTCGAAAATGGTTGCTCTGTTGAACAGGCCTCTGGTGTATGCTGTATATAAATAATGCATCCAAATTGTGTCCAATGATGTACATACCACCGTATACTTCAGATGTTGAGGCCAATAGGAGCCTTCCTCTCACCCTCTTAGTTAAGCCTACAATACATCATAATACATATCTAATATACAAACATATTCTTTTAATATATGTATAGGTAAATTTATGTTTATATTCAATAAAGAAACAGGCATTACACCTTGCTTGGGGCTGTTTTGTAACCAATTTCCACTTTAATGACCCTGATTTCTAGTCTGTTTTTGCAACACTCCACTTAATGTAACTTAAGATATTCTAAGCTTTTAGTTAATATAAAGCAAAGTTAATACAATTTGCTGTCAGAGTCCATATTACTAAATGTATTTCTTTCTACAGTTTTGATTGCTTATGAAATTCATGATCTTAATTTTTTATACATGTAGTTATTTACATTGAGTACCTACCCAGCATGTTGTTGGTTCCTAAGGTGTTTGTTTTGATAGTCTTTACTGGGTTGTACAGTTAGTTGTTTATATTGAGTACCTACCCAGGATGTTGTTGGTTCCTATGGTGTTTGATTTGATAGTCTTTACTGGGTTGTACAGTTAGTTGTTTATATTGCGTACCTACCCAGCATGTTGTTGGTTCCTTTGGTGTTTGTTTTGATAGTCTTTACTGGGTTGTACAGTTAGTTGTTTATATTGAGTACCTACCCAGCATGTTGTTGGTTCCTTTGGTGTTTGTTTTGATAGTCTTTACAGGGTTGTACAGTTAGCTTTTGAGTACCTATCTTTACAGGGTTGTACAGTTAGCTTTTGAGTACCTATCTTTACAGGGTTGTACAGTTAGCTTTTGAGTACCTATCTTTACTGGGTTGTACAGTTAGCTTTTGAGTACCTACCCAACATCTTGTTGGTTCCTTTGGTGTTTGTTTTGATAGTCTTTACTGGGTTGTACAGTTAGTTGTTTATATTGAGTACCTACCCAACATCTTGTTGGTTCCTTTGGTGTTTGTTTTGATAATCTTTACTGGGTTGTACAGTTAGTTGTTTATATTGAGTACCTACCCAGCATGTTGTTGGTTCCTTTGGTGTTTGTTTTGATAATCTTTACTGGGTTGTACAGTTAGTTGTTTGTATTGAGTACCTACCCAGCATGTTGTTGGTTCCTTTGGTGTTTGTTTTGATAATCTTTACTGGGTTGTACAGTTAGTTGTTTATATTGAGTACCTACCCAGCATGTTGTTGGTTCCTTTGGTGTTTGTTTTGATAGTCTTTACTGGGTTGTACAGTTAGTTGTTAATATTGAGTACCTACCCAGCATGTTGTTGGTTCCTTTGGTGTTTGTTTTGATAATCTTTACTGGGTTGTACAGTTAGTTGTTTATATTGAGTACCTACCCAGCATGTTGTTGGTTCCTATGGTACATGTATTTGTTTTGATAGTCTTTACTGGGTTGTACAGTTAGTTGTTTATGTTGAGTACCTACCCAGCATGTTGTTGGTTCCTATGGTGCTTGTTTTGATAGTCTTAACTGGGTTGTACAGTTAGCTATTGAGTACCTACCCAGCATGTTGTTGGTTCCTTTGGTGTTTGTTTTGATAGTCTTTACAGGGTTGTAGAGTTAGCTTTTGAGTACCTATCTTTACAGGGTTGTAGAGTTAGCTTTTGAGTACCTATCTTTACAGGGTTGTACAGTTAGCTTTTGAGTACCTATCTTTACTGGGTTGTACAGTTAGCTTTTGAGTACCTACCCAACATCTTGTTGGTTCCTTTGGTGTTTGTTTTGATAGTCTTTACTGGGTTGTACAGTTAGTTGTTTATATTGAGTACCTACCCAACATCTTGTTGGTTCCTTTGGTGTTTGTTTTGATAATCTTTACTGGGTTGTACAGTTAGTTGTTTATATTGAGTACCTACCCAGCATGTTGTTGGTTCCTTTGGTGTTTGTTTTGATAATCTTTACTGGGTTGTACAGTTAGTTGTTTGTATTGAGTACCTACCCAGCATGTTGTTGGTTCCTTTGGTGTTTGTTTTGATAATCTTTACTGGGTTGTACAGTTAGTTGTTTATAATGAGTACCTACCCAGCATGTTGTTGGTTCCTTTGGTGTTTGTTTTGATAGTCTTTACTGGGTTGTACAGTTAGTTGTTAATATTGAGTACCTACCCAGCATGTTGTTGGTTCCTTTGGTGTTTGTTTTGATAATCTTTACTGGGTTGTACAGTTAGTTGTTTATATTGAGTACCTACCCAGCATGTTGTTGGTTCCTATGGTACATGTATTTGTTTTGATAGTCTTTACTGGGTTGTACAGTTAGTTGTTTATGTTGAGTACCTACCCAGCATGTTGTTGGTTCCTATGGTGCTTGTTTTGATAGTCTTAACTGGGTTGTACAGTTAGCTATTGAGTACCTACCCAACATGTTGTTGGTTCCTATGGTATTTGTTTTGATAGTCTTTACTGGGTTGTACATGTAGTTAGGAGGAGAGGCTGGGGAAGCAAGATGATAAATCTGGTCCACTGAAAGAAATATTAAATACAAGGATAACTAAATGCATTGCTTGTGGCTCACACAAGATGTCAGCCTTTCATAAAATTGGCTGGTATGCAATGAATTTCAAAAATTAATAAAATATGAGTGAAGATAAGAAATTTTTCCTGCAAAAATGATTGAATTTCATTTCATGGGCTAATTCTACTTTCAAACAGATTGCATGTCCAGTGAAAATTTAAAGGCCATAAAAGTAGGACCTCATATTAAGCAACAGGAGGTGTTTTAAGAAAAAGGTTTTGCAGGTGAAAAAAAAATCAGCAATTTTTTGTACCACTTCCAGTGAGACACCATAAGTATACTGCTGATAAAAATGAAATTCAAGATGCAAATGTTAAGAATATATTATTACCTCTGAATGTTTCAGGTTTCTATCTCCAGGTTATGAAGGAAAAAGCATGGACAAAATAATTCTTAAATACTGAGAAATATACTACCGTAAGTCTTATAATCATTCCTTCATTGCACCATAACTTTAAAGATTTTTGAAAGATCAGCTTAAAGGGTACTTGGTAATGCAATGATTTTTTCAGTTTTTTTAATGTTCAAGGATTACTGTGAAAGAAAACTGCACAGAAAAAATGCATCTAAATCTAAACATATAAAGAAAAATCACTAAGGGGACCCTCAAGGGGATAGGGATAATATCTGTGACAAAACATTACCGTATAATGAGCTCTTGGCAAAGATAACATTTGATATTATTTGTATGATGCAAAATGAATGAAAAATAAAGGAATACAGAAATTTTAAATCAAAATGATCTTCCATTGGAAAAATGGAATAAAACCCCATTCCATAGACAAGAAAAAAATTGTTCTCTTAGTAGTGGCCTCTTTGGTCCACCACCTTTTGATCCATCACATAAAAACTTGATTCTCAGTTACTCAAACCTTGCACACACCTTTTTTTATTCATCAAAAAATAATTAATTTATAGTGAGGTGAACACCTTTAAAATCCTGAAGGCAGGTAAAGAAGATATATCTGATAGAACCAATGTTATGTTAACCCAATTTAGGGAATAAATAATTTATAAAGATGACATGGTTTATTAAATGTACTTACCTTATATAAGTACATGTACCTGGTATAGAATATCAAATTGTATTTCATCACCTTCTATAACTACCTGTAGTTACATGTCAGAAGTTATAACATGTAAATTTGCTTACCTTCTGTAAACAATTGTTACATGTCAGTTTATTACATGTAAAGAACTATAAATGATAAGTGTCCCAAACGGCCCCTTAAAATTAATATTTTAATCATACTTAATATATAGGTTTACTTTGTTCAGATATACGTGTGACGATTATTCGTGATTTTCAATTTGATCAAAATGCCATTAATTTTGAAATATAACGTCATGAAATTCACCATTTCTTGCCTCTAGCATATTTTGTATAAAATTGCTCATTTTTTGTCTTCCAGAAAATACTAAGCACACACTTGGACAAATCCTATATTTTCACCAAAGATGTATCTATCCAAAACTACTTACTTACAGAAAAATTTTGCTTGTTCAAAACTGTTTTCATTGTTTCCCATAGGAAAAATGTCAAGAAAAGGCACATTTTTGTCTTATTTTGATTGGATTGAAAAAAAATAGAATCATATCTGATGTCATTTACAGCCAGCAAGGGTATATAAATGAGACAAATGTATTGAAAATATGTTTGATATAAACTCTTCTACTTAATAAAAAACAATTTAAATCACCTGATTCACATTTAAAAATTTTGATTCATGGGGGCCAAAAATGACTCTTATTATATATAGTCCTTTGTCTATCTTCTGTAAACAACTGTTGTAAAATGTCATCAATGATTACATTTACTTATCTTCTATAAAGAGTGTTTGTCCAATGTCATGGTTGATTAACTCTGATTACATTTACTCACCTTCTATAAAGAGTGTTTGTACAATGTCATGGTTGATTAACTCTGATTACATTTACTTATCTTCTATAAAGAGTGTTTGTACAATGTCATGGTTGATTAACTCTGATTACATTTACTCACCTTCTATAAAGAGTGTTTGTACAATGTCATGGTTGATTAACTCGAAGTTTTCATGCCCGATCCAGTGTTCCACATTTCGTTTCCTTCCAGTGAAGAAGTTGTCGACCACGGTGACCTCATGACCTTCTAACATTAACCTGTCCACAAGGTGAGATCCCACAAAACCAGCACCTCCTGAGATCTAAATATAGAACACTGGTATCAATCACAATAGTTTGTTATAAACTAATTTAGAAAAGAAATTAAAGATTACCTGCAGTAGCATTTCATTTTTTGACAAAATAAAGATCACGATAAAATAATACTGAAGAAAAAAACTGCATTGAAATCTATGACCGCTGTCTACTGTGAAATCACTAATTATCGAGGGGGGGTGGGGGGTGAAGGTTAATTTTTGTTGTTTCCTGGTATGAAGAGACCCATGAATTCATGTCCTCCATGAAATGTAAAAATTTTAATCTCTAACAATGCAGTATTTCTTTAACCAAAAATTTAAATCCCTTTGAACCAAAATTTTTTCCTCAAATCATGAAAATTAAAAACTGTGTGATTTTACAGTATTTTAGAAAGAATTTTTAAGAAATCTATTCAACATTCCAATTTTTATACTGAAATTTGGAGTACCATTATATAGTGTTAACTGAATCATTTCATTGCTATGAAATTTGCATACCACATATTTGAAGTTCAATAGAATACCAGGGCCAAGCTGAAAGTAAATCTACTAGGCTAACCTATATAGGAATTTGAGTGTCAACTTCAGAAATTCAAATCTTATATTCTGTAAACCAACTATTATTCATGTCAACTTTTATTCGTGATTCGTCAGTTTGAATCAATCTGCGACGATTGATTTTTGCGACTGAGGAAACATTTTCTACAAATACAAAGAAAAATTAATGGTTCGGGGCGATTAATATTAGTGATTTAAAGTAGGTCGCGAAACTCGCAAATATTTCTTGCACACGAATAAAAGTTGGTTTACAATATATATAGACATATATAAGTATAGAGAATTTTTTGGTCAGGTTTTTTGAGTTTGTGATATGGAGGTGTAACTGTATACATACCAAGATCCTTTTCCTGTCTTTATAATTCAGGAACTTCACATCTGGGTAAATCTTATTTCTGCAAAATAAATTATACATGTACTTGTACATGTATTAAAGATGAGTAATACCAACAATTTATCTTTTCAAAACATTTGCAGAAATAATATTGTAAGTTGCCTTATACAATTAAGATGTGTTCATTCAGTAACCAACATATAGCTAAAGACAGCAGATCATCTGCATATTAAAAATGGAAAATTATCGAAGTAATTGTATGGCATACATGCATTGAACAGGGACCTGTTCATTACAATTTTTATTTTAAGTAGAGTTGACAGTATTTTCAATATATTTTAATTATCAATTACATGTACTATTATTAATTCCAGTTTACAATAGGAAGTCATCATTCATATAATAAGGCACATACTCAGATCAGTGCAAACAACCCCCACTTTTTTTTTTTTTTTTTTTTACTTTTTCACACAATTTTTTTCTTAAGGTATGTTAGAGTGGTTTGTCTGGGTTTAAGAATGCACACCTTAAAGGAAACTTCGAAAATTAAAAACAAACAAACAAACAAACCCCAAACAATAAAACAGAATCAAATTGCCAAAACAAAACCAGCTGACATATTCCAGCAATTGACAATTTTAGTGCCTTTGGTACAGGTATTAAATAGAGTTCAAAATCTATTCATAATTTAAAAAAAAAATCAGGTTAACTTAAAGGGAATTTTTTTGAAAAAACTTTTCTGGGCACATGAAATTGATGACTTTTAACCTTTCCTTGAATACATGAATACATTGTTATAACATGATCATGTCATAAAATTGAAATATACTACTTATTTTTTTATTTTGTGTTGATCAACTGTGGTCCAATTATATATTAAATCATGTGCAGTTAATATATTTTTCAATAAAGGTCATTACTGGCTACAGAGTTAACTACAAGTAATTTTAATATATTAAAGCAGAGATTGAACAGTTAAGCCATTGACTTATAAATGCAAAAAGAAAAAAAAGTAAGTTGCTTCAAAGCCATTTGATCGATTGCTGATGTGGACTCACCTATGGCGTTCATGACTGCATTATCAATTTTTTAAAAAATTAACATGAATTTGATTAATTTCTTCAGGTTAATTTTTTTTAACTTAACTGGTGTATAAAAAGACTTTTAATATCTATATATTTTTTGTAAATATATCTCTAAGTTAGCAAATTAAACGGGAAAAAATTATCTGTAAAAAGAAATATTATTCCAGCATCAGATATAAGAAAATGCTGTGGCACAGCTTTAACTACCTGGTAATGCACTTAGGCCAAGTGCTTAACAAGATTATATACATATACTACCAGCTGGAAACAGTAAAATATTATATTGCATGACTGTACATATTTTTAAACCAACACTGATTTTTTTGTTACTAATGTAACCGCTGGGGAGGGTATGGGTCCACCTGGAATAAGTAGTGCACCCTATACTGCACACATGTGCACACCTGGCATCAACATCTTGACATGGTTACTGTCCTTGACATGAAACTGTCAAGGATTAAGACATAAGAAGAAATGTCTTTTAAGTCTTTATTAGAGGAGTAATTTGTACATTATTTACATCCAAGACTGGGTCTGCTAGCTGCCTACTCTATAGCCCTAACTCCTAACCCTAACTCTTTTACTACTAACTCTCTCAACTCCAAGGCTAAAAGTAAAACAGCTACTGAGGTTATCTCTTTGTTCTTTATAGAAATATAATCTTTGCCTTAAGGTGAATTGAGTGATTATTTGATTTACTCAAGATTATTTGACATCTTTGCAATAGAGTGATATGGACAGGTTAAGTGTTCATTAGTGTAACACACAGTTTAATTTTTTCGCAATTCGAGATAGCTTTTCTGCATAAAAAATCCTGTTTTTCTGAGACAAGTTTTATACTGCTTTTCTGCAATAATATTTTTATTGCTTTTCCATGACTTTTTTCTGTACCTCTTCCGTTAGCCATTTAAAACCCATTGCATTCTGCTTACCACATGGAGATGAAGTTGGATTTTAAGAAAATAAGTCTTCCAGAACACTTAATAAGAACATTGATTTAAAACCTTTGGCACTGGATAAAACAAAGATAAAAAAACAAGCACTGGTCTAGATTTTAAAAAGTCGACAGAAGGAATTTGCATGCTTTCACATCTTGGTGCGAGCTCCAAATTTAAGTGTAAAATGCGAGATTCATTCAATAATTTTAATCACAATGTGAGTTAGTACCCATATTGTAGAATGCTATGGAGGAAATACAGGTAAATACTGCTAAATATTGGCTAGCCGTAACTATTTAAAAATTGTGGAAAGGATGTATAAAAAAAGGAGATAACACATAACATATTGTAAATACCAATCATGGAAAAGCAGCATGAAGTAGTCGTGGAAAAACAGAAAGGTTGCAAAAATAAAATCGCAGAAAAGCAGGTCAGCTGTGACACCTATACTGTCTTCAGTGTAACAAAAGATAATTGTGTAGGGGATTAACTTAATTAAAGGGAATAGATAACAATGTACTAGACATACACACAAGCCATCTGCTTAACTTTGAAACTGTATGGCATATTTGTATTAATTAAATGTTAGCATGAATGAAATAGAAAACTGTAGCATACAGTACAGGCAACGCGGATCCCGTATTTTCCGCGCCCCGTCGCAGTATATACACAACGCGGTTTTTAGCCAGGTGAGACAGGTAAACCGCGTTCCCTCCGCGGGAAATTCATTACCTACCTGTCCCCGCCGCGGTTAAATCATCGATCAATTAGTATCGTAAACAAACGGGAGTTATCTCCCCGAACAGAAATTTTGCGAAATTCCGTTTTGAACATATTTTATTGAGTTAAAAGGATTGGGAACAAGTTCTATACAACTAACTAGGTTCCTATCCTTTATTTTACAATATGTCATGCAAATAAAAAGAAAAATAATACAGTTAGTACAAGTGAAAAAGCAATTAAATAACATATCAACTAGAGAATCTGCATGTTTCGTCAATAAATATATGAACAGCAGCAAAATTTCCTCTTAAAAAAATTAAAAGATCTTCAGTGTATGTATATTTATGAAATTAGTTTCTTTTATTTTGCAACAGTGAGGTGAAAATAATAAACATACTCCAAAAAAGAATTTGTAAAGCAGAAGATATTTTAAACGTTTTTATTATAATTATTTTTTTTTTTAAATTATAGATCAAAACTAAAGCGAAATCTTTTGTTTTAAATAGTGTCAAGAAAACTATGTATAATGTAAGCCGTTTCATTTGAGAGGTTTAACATGACAAATTTTAATGTCGCAAATATAAGTTCTAAAAACTTCTTTTCAAATTATATGCGAACTACAATAATGTTACATACACGTGCTAAACAATAGTCAGTGCGAGCTCCTATTATATTAACAGTTTTCAGTGTTTCTATGAGGAAAAAGTACATCTTAATACTGTTTATGTTATTTTTACCAAATTTAGAACAGTATAATTCATTTAATTTATTTCACTTTATTGTATAAATGTGCAAGCATTTCTCTGAAATTGTCGAATGACCGGAAAGCTGTAATATTCAATCGTGAGAGTTTGCAGTGAGTGGGCGCGTGAACGTTTTACAAGATATCAATATAATTTTTCTTTTCTTCGATATTTACTTCTTTGGTAAACATTGTTTTGTTTTTAATTTAATTATTTCTCCATTTACAGAAGATAGGATGTGCATGCATGGTGATGAACTCAACAAAACAATTAAAACGGCGGGGGGGGGGGTATATATCACTAAAACTTATTATTCTCAATAATACTCAAGAAAAAAAAATCAAATGCCAAGTTTACTTGAACATATTCTTTTCTTTGTGTATTAAGTATTAGTCCCGATCATTTCCTGTGTATAGGGATTAGCAGACCGAGCAGGAAACGACATGCCCTGAGGGTTTCACACCTGTCGTAGAGTACATGTACCTGGGGTAAATTTCTCTGCATTTGCAAGGCGTTGTCTAGCCATACAACACACCAGTTCCTTCGATGTTTTATTATTTCTTCATTTTCAAATGAAATTACAACCATGAAATCTACGCGAGTCAACTATATACTTGCTTTTTTTTTTTTTTTTAACCCTGAGTGTATATTAAAAGGAAAAGGATCAATCATACATTTAAAACAAATTAATAGAGTTTGAATGAAATAAAATAAATCAAATCAGATAATATTTTATTAATATTTTCTGTAAATGCCGACGGGGCTTGATATTTGTTTCTGTTTGTATATGTACATGTACATGTGCATGTATTATGTAAGTAGAATTTAAAAAAGAAAGGAAATAAAAGTACAGAATGTTACGGCACGTGCATCTTTTTTTCCTGCTTTTTTATTGATTTGTCGAGTCCATCGATTAAAACAAAATATTCATGATAAAATTTCAATGAAATGAATTGCTTCTGGATTAATTTTGTTTCAGTTTCAATATAAGTCGTTTCTGTGAACAGATACATGTAATATACTGTAGCCGATTTATCAGTTTATTGACCAGTTGTGGACCTTGTCTAATTCTACGATCGAGTTTACTTTCTGAAAAAACACGGAAACAGCAACAGCCACAGACACTATTTTACTAAACCAACTTACTGCTTCCAAGACATATATTTATAAGATCGCCATATTGCTTCACGATGTAAGATTATGCAATCTAACAGTTAGGGTATCAGCTAGTTACACAGATACCTGAAAACTCAGCCTATCGCTCTAACACATTTGTCTCTGAATATAATAAGTTTATTTTTGTGTTGAATGATCAAATTATTTTAGGGCACAAAATCAGCCAATAAAAGAGGGTTTTTCCGATTTGACGATGCGTGTAAATGAAAATACTGATGAGCATGATCATTTAAATTTCAGAAAGAAAGAAAATGGAAAAACTTGCTATGAAATTATCCTGAATATATAGGATGTAATGATTTTATTAACAATATAACGAAAAAACGTTCATGTTGATATAACTTCTACAGTCTTACATGTTTAGCGCATAGTATTAGCAGTTAATTGGTTCCTAAATCTTCCTAAACGTACACGTGTTTAATACTGTTCCCATCTCTATCTATCATCGTTTTTCATTCTAATATTTATATCAGATATATATATATATATATATATATATATATATATATATATATATATATATATATATATATATATATATATATATATATATATATATATATATAACAAAAAGGCATATTTTTTGTTTAAGAAACCAAAGACTGTGATCGAATCTCGCAGAAAAAATAAACGCATTAGCTACATGTAACTGGTAACGCAACTGCGCGGGCTAATCGTGGACAATTAAGAAACGATGGCATTTAAAAAAAATCTAATGCTACTGTAATAAGGTGGATTATTTAGCAATTCCAAGATAATTTATGTTTGAATTATTGATTTTAAATAAATAATACACGGTTAATGAGCTGATGATCATATTTCATCCAATTTTACTGCAAGTACTGGCAATTATATGCCTTTTTTTAATTTGAGAAATAATAAATTTTGAGTGACTATTGATATAAAAAAAAAAATAAATAACTATTATACAATACTGAAAATTTAAATAAAAAATTCATTTAATGATATTCACCATATAATGTAGGCCATGATTTTTAATAAATTACCCCCCCCCCCCCCTTTTCCGTCGCGATTAAATCGACAACACTTTACAGGTAATAACTCTAAGCTGAAGAAAAACGGTAGCTGGCCCCGCCGCGGTGTAAACACGGTCGCAGGTAGTACCGCGATCAAAACCCGCGACGGTGTAACGCGGAAAGGATTAACACACCGCCGAGGGGACGCGGTCTAATACGGGATCCGCGTTGCCTGTACTGTAAAATAGAAATGTAAATACTGTAATATTTAAATATAGAAAATATAAATTATGTAAGACCCCTAACACTTTGGTTAGTGGCTATACAAAACTATAAATAAACCTGCATTCTGTTCAATTTAATTTTACATTCCTGTATTTTGTTATGTTGCCTTACAGCGACATAACAAAATACAGGAGCATAAAGGATCTAATTTTAATTAGATTGGCATCTGTTCACCGACAAAAAAACCTTTTCACTTTTGAAGCCAGCTAAAAAAAAATTTTGAAAAAAAAAACTTGTAATTAATTAGAATTGTAGGAAAATTTCCTTGTTTTGGAGAGACTTAACTGTAATTTATACATTTTCTTGTTACCACTTATGGTAAATGGTTTAGAAAGAGTGAACATCTGAGTGTATAAAGCTATTGCCTTTCTGGATCATATCTCTCTGGAATCAGTCTTTACATATCTGCAAAGCTAATTTCATTCAATATAAAAAAATTGCAACATTTAAAGTTTACCATTTCCAGAAATGTATTCATATACATGTGCATGCATGTATAATATGTGCATGCATATGAATAAATAACATTGCTAATGGTTTCAATGTTTTTAGGCTTTTAAATTCTAATTTTCTGAATGCAAGGCATAAAAGCATACACAGCATACACATTTATTGATCTATTCTGTGTCTGTCTTTGCTGTGTGATCAATAAAAACTTCATCTTTTTTTTTATCTACTCCAGCTGTTACTTGATCATCTTTGATAATATCCTTGTAGTAAGATATTTATAGATATCGATGTATACCTCTAAACAAATTTTTTATCCTTTGATCAATATTGAACTGAAATATTTTTGAAAATATCCTTATAAGCAAAAATTAAAGTATACATGGAATTTTTTACTCTGGGTTAGGGTTAGACTACTTGAATATCTCAATAAATGAATTAAATCTGCTCTGTTGTGTGTAATACATACTGTTTTTCCAGCTGACTGATACGTTCCTTCAGGGCAGTGATTTCTTCATAGATTTCACTATGTCCTGTTCCATTGAGGAGCCTCGTAAAGCTGCAATTTTTAAAAAAAAAAATTATAGTGAGAAGGAATAGTAAATAACTATTTTTTGTCAATGAATGGGCACTATTTATGACATGACAAGTCAAGACATTTCAATACTTATACATGGAACAGACAATGTAATTTTGAAATTTATGAATTCTTACTCTGTTTTTGTAGAGTTGGAAAACCTGATGAACCATACTGAAAAAAAATATATATGAAAAATTTAGCTTAAAATATATGAGTATATTGATAGTAATTATCAAAATATATCATTTTTTTTTAAATGCTGTCAAATGTGAAGTTAAAAGGTCAAGATATTTCATAAGCTTTAATAGTTTAAAATTCAAATTTAAATTTCAAATTAATGTCCAAAATCTTAACATGGGTTTAAAAAAAGGAATATGGATATTTTTAAAAGCAGGTCTTGAGCATACCAGTTATGGTCAGTGTTTGACCTTAACACCAGTCCATTGGCCAAAAACTGACAAAGGAGGACAGTCAACAGTGGTCAAGAGACCAGATGTGAAAGGACATCTGGACCTTATTTTAAGAGTCAGAGTGTTGGGTTTTAATTAGAATAGTTATATATGAGAAAAATGCAGGTAGATACACTACAAAATTTAATACTGCATATTTCCAATCATCTGATTTGTGAATTTTATTGTCAAAAGAACCCTTTAATCATACATGATACATGTTCACAGGGCATGACAGGCTAATTTATTCGTTTTAATTTTTTTTCATTTGAATGATTTCAGAATCAATGGAAATTAACTTGACAAACAACTTTCCCTAGTCATAAATGTATTTTAAAAAAAACACGAAACATTTGCATATGTTATGCACTAATACACACATCAAAATGAATTCCAGGTGTATTACCTGAGGATGTGAGCTGTGGTCAATCAAATGATTAGATGCGTCAGTGTATTCAGTAACCCAATACACTCTACTATATACTATTTAGATATAAAACATTTGCATATGTAATGTTCTAATGCACATATGAATCTCAGAGGTATTAGAAGTGCGGGCCGGATAGATCAAATGATAAGTAATGTTTACGCACCTAAAACACCAATGACACCACCACATAAAATTAATATGGACTTCATTCTTAATTTCTTCATACAAAGTATCCTTGAACAATTCGATAGTCCATACTGTGACGCCTGCTTTGGTCTTGATATCATGAAGATAACATTAGGCTTCGCAGGCACAGTCCGCACAGCTGACACAGACGTGACAGAGAGATCCCGGATCGTTGATCAACCAGGAAGTAAGTAGATACAAAGTAAACCATAAAACGGATTCGAATAAATCAAAAATTTCCGTGCTTTTCTAGCTCATTAGATAATATATTTTTTTTAAAATCCGAAATGCTTTACAAAAGGTCTATGCATCATTTTTCTTGACCTTAAGCGCAAATAAGAATATTTTTAAAGATTGTGTCCTTTATCATGATAGCCTTTGCACACTTATTGCACCTGAGCTGCGATTAATAAATGCGTACTATAATATAAATTATATAATAAAATAAAAATTTTGGAGTTTAAAGATCATTTTTGATTAAAACCTAAGAGTGACATGAGTGACTTTCAGTCTTGTCATAATATTTTTTTCTTATAAAGAGGTGGATAGAAGAGAACCCTACCAAATTTTCGCGCCAAAACGTCGCATCGTAGATGGCAGTGTTCGAGGTCATGTGACAATCAAAATGTCCAACAATGATTCATTGTTCAAACGTGATTACGGTGATAAGATTATATTTCTTTTCGTTTGATAAAGAGTGTTTCACAGGATGAAGATATAGATGGAAGATAAACACCGAGAAAGTTTTATTCATGTAAGCATCATTTATATTATATGTCATTAATCACACATAAATGAACATGTGCAATTATTAAGATTGCACAAAGCATGGCGAGGAATCTTCTGTCTAGTGATCTACAGCTGATCAAGGCTCTAGGGTTTATAGGTTTTACTTATCAGGGGCACATTTCACTAAATAATGTTGCAGTTATGATCCACCATTTCTGTTTTTCTGACATTAATCATAAAGAAGTAAGAATTAAATAAATGAACTACTTGCCATGATAACATTTAAATTTACTAGTCCAACTTGCTATTATTGAAAAGGTTCTTAGATAGATCTGATCCAAAACAAAATTTGCAAAATAATAAGGACCAGAGAAAAGAAAAATACCTTTTAACTTCAAAAACGTGTACATGATGTCTTGACTGAACGTGCCCTATATAGATCACATAATTTTTGCTTCATATTGGACCCCAGAAATGATGAATACATCCAGCTTTTGTTTCCATAAAAACAGAGAAACTGGAGAGATGACCCATTAAGATCAAAAGTCAGCTGTATTTTATATGTTAATAATGATCGAAAAACTAAAATCTGTTCTAGTAAGACTGCATGGGATAATCTATCACTTAACACTTGCTTAATTGATGCATCATTCATTGCATCCTTAATTATTAATACTGGTTACATAATAGATACACAAGCTTAAATTTCTATGCTATATCATCATAAAAAAGTTTCTATTCTTTACCAACAGCAACATATTCTTCACTTTGACTTTTTGATAAATAAAAATGAAAGTGGGAAAAACCCAAACACATCATATCATTAAAACTATACTTATGCCTTATGTCAGGGGAGCAGAAGTAGTTGTATGAGGGATATACCGGTACATGTAATAACTCGGGTTTTAAACTGATCACTCTGATGGGTTGCATGCATTTTCTCTTGGCTAATTTGGACATCATGCCTGGATTGTTTACAAATAAAGAACACAAGAACAAAAATGAACCCTAAGCAGACAAAAATGAAAATCACTTTTACAGGTAGCTACAGAATATGGTACATCTTTCTTCTTACTGAATTAGTTAATGTATCTCATTTTCTTGAATTTGGGATTTTTTTTTCACGTTTAGTCTTTTAACCCAGGTATTCTTGATCTAGAACATCTGTAATAATTAATTTAGCTTAGAAATGAGGAGATTTAAAGATAAATGTATAGAACAATAAATATTGGGTGCATATTTTACTGTGAAACTTTTTTTAGTCTTTATCTTCGAGTCTATTCCTGCAGAAAGTACTTCGTTTGGAGTTTTTGACAACAGGCAAAAAGGCAATGAGAAATTAAGATGTTTTCTGAATTTTAAACCTAAGTAAAATAACAATGGAAAATGGATGCATATAATATTATTAAACAAACAAAGGTTTTCCTTATTTTCAATCTGTATATTTTTATGTCTTTCCCTACAGAAAGTACTTCGTATGGACTCTCCAACAGCAGACAATGAGAATGGCAGTAGTGGTGGATCTGAAGGGGTGGAGAAATTTGTGTTGGCAGTGGATATTGGTACCACCAGTTTACGAAGTCATATTTACAACAAACAAGGAAACATAAAAGGGGCCAGCAGTAAAAGGGTGAGACACGTCATTTTTGAAAACAGAGGGGAAGGGAGGAGTTGCGTGGACCTAAACCATAGAATTTTCTTTTTTTCTTTGAATTTTTTTTTGGCTTTTCATTGAATAAAGATTTCTCCTCCCATGAAAAAATCCTGATTCTGGTCATTAGCAATTTTCCACACCCCTTATGTACCCTGCCATTCACAGACAGTCTCTGAGATTAAATACATCAAATCTTGAAAATAATGGGATATGATTTAGAATGACCAAAAGGTCATTTAATTACAATCTTGCATATCTATTTATGCATCCAGTTTAATAAACTGGGAGTTTTGGAATAAGGATAATGCATGCGACATACTTTTTTCTCCTGCAAGTTCACTGAAAATTATGATCTAGATTTCTTACCATCCTTACATGTATATAAGACAGAGTAATTGTGTATACTTTGATGTTAGGAAAATATTTTGAAAATTTCTGAATCTTCTAAGCCCATGAAAGATACACAATTAATAATTTTAATTATCATTGTAGATGAAGAAGCTTATGTGCAACTATATGTGGAAAATGTTTCAGATTTTCATTATCTGAACTTTTTTCATTCAAGTGTTTTATTTCAAAAAATTATTTTTAGATACAACTTCTTCATCCTCAGCCTGGATGGTTTGAGATGGACCCCGATCTCCTGGTTAAACAAGTCATAGACAGTATCAAAGAGTCCATTAGAGGTTAATTTTTTTTTCCCAACATAATGTGTAGTGTTAATGTATATTATTAGGACCCCGCTCTGCTAGTGCCCTCTAGTGATCAGTCGATCCATGTCTGTCCATCTGTCCATCCAAAATCATTTGAGAATATTTTCTCTCCCCATGCCCCAATTTGGATCATACTTAACCCATGGAGTACCTGGGGTAGAGGTTGTGTCATGAACTTGAACCAATTTTCATATTCAAGGGTCAAGGTCAAAAAACACATCTGTGTAAAATCATTGCCTAGAGCATATTTTCTATCCCTTTGTTTCAGTCTTGCTCAAATTTTACCCCTAAAGTTCTTGTGGAATAGGGGTGTGCAATGACCTGGAACTAATTTTCTACATTAAAGTTCAAGGTCATAGCAGATTTCTTTATGTAAAATCCTTGTCCTTAGCATATTTTCTCTCACCTTGGCCCAACTGGCCAACAATTCACCCATAGAGAGCTTGTGTGTGCTTCTTGAGAACCACTGGGTCAGAAAAAATGAAACTTGTGAGGCAGCTTCCTGAAATAGTGTAGAAGGTAGGGTGGAACCATACATACGGGATCAAACATGGGAATATGTAACCTGTATATGAACCTTTGCCCCATCTTGCTCATACATCATTCAAATAGTGCCTATGGGTGAAGATTTAAGTCAAAGGTCAAAGGTCAAACTCAAAATACAGCCTTTCATCCTAATGTCCTTTGCTAAAAGCAGGGCCCTTTGAGATGGTCACCATTTGAACGATATCTAGTTATATTATCCATTGTAATTTAAACAAATTTAATTTTTGAATACATCAGATTCTTTCAACACTGGCAACCCTTATTATCTGGAACTTAGTAACCCCCCTCCTCCCCTCCCCCCCCCCCCCCCCAAAAAAAAATTTAGATAATCGAATGATTCAAGATATCAAGTTTGAAATACAATATAGATAAAGTAGTTAGGACTTCCAAATCGCATATCCATGGTATTCAAGATATCAGTAATCTAGATAATGAAATTCAACTGTATTATGAAATGTACATATTGTACAGTTTTAATGTTATCAATATATTACATGCGTTATGTCTTCTCTTCCTCTAGCCGCAGGAATATCTGTCCATGATGTGGCTTGTATGGGTATAACAACACAGAGAAACACATTCCTAACCTGGGACAGGTTGGTTTTAATTCAAGTTTAGTACAATTTGGTTTCTATAAAACTGAAGGTATACACTGGTGTCAGAGCTTGAAATAAGAAAGAGGAAGTAAGGCCCATTTACATGTATGCTCCTTAAAGGAGTTAAGGAAGTTAATATTTTCTCAAATTTTCTGTATAATATAATGTTTTATAGCATTTCACACGGAAATACTTTCACAACGTAAACTTTGTCCTTTATAACCCGGTGAAACATAAATGTTTTTGTAAATAGGGCACAAACTCTGTTATTGTTAATGTTTAGGTTTCACTGGGTGTGTTCAACTTGTTAAACTCTGCACACATCACTGAGTACGGACTGACAATACTGGTGAGTTGGTTTTGCTTTCTCACATTTCTATACTCTGAATTTTAAGGATTATAGTTTTAATATTTTTCATTCATACACAACAAGATTTCTACTTTTCTTCAGTATTAAGGATAAAGTTCACTTTGTGAAAGTGCAAGGATATGTGTCAATCAAATGCGTACCAGAATTTGTAGTTTCAATAATTTCCAGATAAAATAAGTTTCTGAACATGCTTTTATTATATTTCTGTGTGAAATGCTATAAGTCATGATATTGTACAGAGCATTTGAGAAAATATTAACTTCAAATCTGTGTCTAGGCCCCTTTAATAAAAGCTGATCGTTTTTAGGTTAAAAATTTTTTTTTTGATCATATATACGTGTCCAGGACAAGAGAAGTGGCATATTGCTTGATTTACGTTAAATTTTCTGATAATGTAATGCAGATAAAAATTTATGATAAGATGAGGTATGTATTTTGATTTTGACAAAGTTACATTAAATGTCATAAATCAGAATAATTTCCTATTTGATAGAAATAAGAAAATATAAGAGTTTTGACTCAAACTTTGCTTTAAAAAAAGATTATTGTACATTTTCAAAATTGATACATGTACAATGATGAATTATGTTATAAGCATATCATAAATTATTTTTAATGTGTGAAAGTTTCATTCTTTTCCTGCAGTTTTTTTTTTATTGCATTTAAAATTATGCTAACACACTTTTTACAACAGATTTTGTTTGATATTCTATGAATCCATTTTTTGGGGAAAATTATTTCTATCTCATAGAAAGGTTAATTAATAATTAATTCCTTGACAATTTTTCGTAGAACAACTGGAAAACCATTTCACAACTTCATAACTTGGCAAGACTTGAGATCTAGGAACATTGTCAAAAGCTGGAATAATTCATTAAGAATGAAGGCAAGTTCATGAACTTTCTATGTATTTAATATGCATATTTCCTTGGAAATTCCTTTTTCTGGAGTTAATAATTTGCTGTTTATTTTTAGATTTATGTTACTGTCGACCGTCTACAGTAAAATATGCTTATAGTAAAGGGCCAGTGATGAAAAATTTTGTTAATCGTTATAAACTTAACTCACTATATCCATTAAGTGTACAATTCAGTTTCTTAAGTGTTAATTATGAATTAGCCTTGAATATTATAATGAATTATAAGTATTTTGAATTTTTGCTATAACTATGTTTTACTGTACTACATGTGAATTTTTAAATTTTCAGGCTTTAAATAATGGTTCCTCAATTCTACACATGTTCACCAGACAGAAAAGGTTCTTGTCAGCAAGTGTACTGAAATTCATGTCACAGCAGGTGAGACGCTGCCATTTAATCATTTTTTCCCCTTTTTGATAAACATCTGAAGGAAATCTGTATGCATATATTCAATTTAAACTCTGTCATTTTCAGTTTAAAAGTGTTTCATTGAAGTCCAGTACTTTGTACAGTAGTTTGTAGTGATTTCCATTGGCCATTCTTAGCATACCTAAATCCCTCATAATTTGTGGCTTTCTTTTTACTTGTAGAAGAAAAAAATTGAATTTACTGATCAACTTTTGTACATGTTTTTATGATTGTGCATTAGTTTACAATCCTCTCAGAATTTTATAATGTAGAAAGAATTTTTAATATACATGTATTTTAGATTTACATACTGTAAGTTTGAATTAAACAGAAAGTTGAAAGGTACGTGATGCATTGAATGGACAGTAAAAAATGATTCTGTCATTTCTCTCTCTTTTAGGTTACAATGAGGTTGATCTGGGTTTTAGAAAATGTGGAAGAGGTAAGGTCATAAACTGCATAAAAAAAATATAATTCCCTAATCTGTGAAGTACAGTGGAACCTTGTTATCTCGAACTTGATGGGACCAAGATTAAACTTCGAGATATCCAAGGAATTGAGATAATGAGGGTGAAATACAGACAAAAAAAGTTGTTGGGACTGCCAATGTCCTGGTGTTCGAGATAATGAAGTTAACTGTACATGTACTTGTAATAGTGTAATACCAGATGCTAAAATTGTTTGTTTATTTGTTTTATATCCCTTCCAGAGTTTTACACTTATGTTGGGATGCAAAATCAAAATTTTGTGTCTAAGCTTAAGCAAATAAACTTAGGTCACAAAAAAAGAGAATCAAGGAATCAGGAAAAAATATATAGTCTTATCTGTGTTTTTACTTTAAAAATTGTAATTTCAAACAAGGTATGTTTGTGAAATTTGTCAATGATATCTCATAGTTTTTTATCTCTGTGTAAACTGAATTTACTGTACTAAAATATGAAGAAATAAAAATTGATACCTGATCATGCTGATTCATAATTTTTCAGGTACTAGTAGTTTTACATGTTCTGAAATTTAATATACATATACATGCATATTTAATATACACATGTACGTGCATATTGAATTTTATTGGATTGTTAGCAAAATACATGTATCTTTAGTACACTGAACTGATTAAGAAACAATTTGTAGGTAACAGTTAATGCTTTTTTTCACTCATACAAAAATGAATACACATGTATTTGAAAAATTCTATTTTCCATGTAGCTGAGAGCCAAGTTAGCTGTAAATGAGGTGTGCCTAGGTTGTATAGAAACATGGTTGTTATATAAATTGACAAAAGAAAAGCTTATAGTGACTGACTACTCCTGTGCAAGTGGAACAGGGCTGTTTGATCCCTACCAGGTATGTCATTTGTTCTTTTACCTTAAGTACAGTCAAACCTCGTTATCTCAAACTCAATGGGACTAAGAAAAACTTCGAGATATCCAAGGATTCAAGATAACCAGGGTAAAATACTTAAAGAATAAGGGGTTGTACTCCCAGATCACTTCTACATATCCATAGTATTTGAGATATCAGTGTTTGAGATACCAAAGTTCAATCTGTATATTATGTCAAAAAGAGAGACGTTAAATTCTATAATAAAAAACCTACTCTTTGTATTGTCACACAATGTCAGCAAATTAGATTTAATATTTGCAGCCTTGTTAATAATTTGATAAAACTGTTGTATTCAAGATTGACAGTTAGATATACCTGACTAAAACTATATAATGTTCTGAAATTATTTTCAGTGTTAACAATAATGCACTGTAAAAAAGACTTGCACGTAGTTTGTTCTTGAAAGCCTTTTATGCTACTGGAAAAGCGGAAACTTTGATGACATGGAAATGTTGACGAAATTGCAGAATGAGTGAAAAAACGTCAAAGTTTCCATTCATCAACCTTGACATTCTTGTTAAAGAGCACTGTTAAAGTTTTCACTCGTCATGTTTCTAAAATATTGAAATTGTCAAACTTTCATCCTTTCAATATAACCATGTTATCTAACTATAGCTGCACTGATTTGTACATACATCTGACAGTGTTCATAATATGTATGCATATGTTTTGTTTTCAGTTTGAATGGAGCACCATTGTATGTAACTTGTTGAACATTCCTATGGAAATTTTACCTGAGATCCGAGACACCAGGTATTAACAGTAAGAAAGGGGCTCAGTGTTTACATTGTAAGAAGAGAAGTCTGTGTATATGTCCTGTAAAAAATCCAGTTTTGAAATATTTCAAAATTAAATTTATTGTAATTTTTGCAGGACTAATGATTTTTTTGTTAGCTCTACTGGAGCTTATGCAATTGTAAGGTGTCCAGGGTTTTCCCTAAGAATTGAAATAGCAAGAAACATTAAAGAGGTAGAAAGGGGTTTGGGGTTCCTCCCCCAACAGGGAGTTGAGGGGGAATACCAGAATAACTGGGGGATTACATCATTATAGGCGGGGAATTTCCCTGGCCCCTGGGTCTTAGGGACAACCGTAGGTGTCTGTCTGTCCGTCTGTCTGTAAGCAGTTTTTTTTCTCAAAACACTACTCCCCATACAGTTTTGGTCCAATTTCATTAAAACTTGGTACACAAGTAGACTACACTAAGATACATCATTCTATTTATGGGTTTTGATTTTGATAAATGATGTCACCATGGTTACTAAAAAGGAAATTCTTTCAAAATGCTATTCCTTCCACAGTTTTAGTCTGACTTCAGTAAGACTTGGTGCATAATATAAGTAGATTATACTAAGATGCATATACATTCTATACATCAGTTTTTGATTTTGGCAAATTATGTTGCCATAATACTGAAAATAGAAAATTCTTGGAAATTCTTTTTAAAATGCTACTCCTCCAACAGTTCTGGCTTGATTATGACAAATGGTGTTGCCCTGGTTATTAAAAACAGAAATATCTAGTATGTAATTCTTTCAAAATGTTATTCCTCCTACAGTTAAATTTGATTTGAATAAGACTTGGTACACATGTAGACTAAATAAATAATTCTATATTTAGATATTTTGATTTTGGCAATTCATGTTGCCATGTTATACTACAAAAAGAAATTCCTGAGTGTGAAGTTCTTACAAAACATTACTCCCCCTACAGTTTTGGTCGGATTTCAATTAGACATGGTACACATTCAAGAAGCCTATACTAAGATATATCTTTGAAATCTTTATTATAAGTACACGCCAGTAGAGTTAGAGTCTCCTCAGATACTTCTGGTTTAACCCACTCACAGTTTTAAATAGTAAATACATTGTACTTTTTATGTGCAGGTTGATTATATAATAGTTTTTAAATAGTAAATACATTGTACTTTTTATGTGCAGGTTGATTATATAATAGTTTTTAAATAGTAAATACATGGTACTTTGTATGTGTGGGCTGCTTATGTAATTACTTGCATAATAGGTTAGTTTATCATGGTATGAACTGTTGCTCATTTTTTTTATTGCTGTAGTGGAGATTTTGGAACCACAGATCCAGCAATATTTGGGGCAGCCATTCCCATTACTGCAGTAGTAAGTATTTATTTTTCAAAAGAATATAAAAAATCTTTTAACAATCTTCTGAACAGCGGGGCTAAAGTAACTCTGGTGAGCATTGTGGCCCATGTGCCTCAGGTTACTTTATATATAATCAAGAATGGAGGAGAATCTTTTGATTTCAAAGGTCAAGATCAATTCTAAATGGAATATTTTCAAAAAAGCCCATTTTAAAATGCTTGATACAAAATTTTAAATACATATGAAGCCTAGCTTAATTAATATTCATTTCACAATTGAAAAGGATCCCTATAAATTTTGAAGCCACTTGCTCTGCAAGGTCAAAATTATTGATAAAAAAAACAAACTGCAGGCCCTTTTTGACTTTGTCAGCTAGTGGTCAATAGTGTTTTCAAATTCAGAAACACATTCTAATTTCTGAGAGGAACAATACTGTACATTCCTAAATGTACGCGAGAAATTAATTATCACGTAAAGCACGCCTCACGAAATAAAATTCCTTGCTTTTATTTTTATGGTGCTGAAATCAGTGTAAAATCTCTTGATCAACCGTCCACTTGCGAATTATTGTTCTCACGATTTGACGTCAAAGAGCCATTTCGCGAAAATAAGTACTCGCGAAAAATAAGGAATCTACATTACTTCATGTATGCATAGGGGTTAACAGTGATCCTTCTTATCATGTAGGTTTCTGATCAAACTGGGGCATTGTTTGGGGAGTGCTGTTTTGAAGTTGGAGACATCAAATGCACCATGGGAACAGGGACTTTTCTTGATTTGAATTGTGGAGACACACCTCATGCCTCTATTGGAGGTAAAAGAAGAATCTAAACAATGTTCTTTCTAGAAGATCAAAGTCCTGAACTGGCATTCTGTGGAACATTTCTTGAAATTGTTTTAGAAATACAGAGAAGTCTGATGTAAACTTTAGATGGACTTTATTTACTTTTTTAGGACTTTATCCTATATAAACTTTAGATGGACTTTATTTACTTTTTTAGGACTTTATCCTATATAAACTTTAGATGTACTTTATTTACTTTCTTAGGACTTTATCCTATATAAACTTTAGATGGACTTTATTTACTTTTTTAGGACTTTATCCTATATAAACTTAAGATGTACTTTATTTACTTTCTTAGGACTTTATCCTATATAAACTTTAGATGGACTTTATTTACTTTTTTAGGACTTTATTCTATATAAACTTTAGATGGACTTTATTTACTTTTTTAGGACTTTATTCTATATAAACTTTAGATGGACTTTATTTACTTTTTTAGGACTTTATTCTATATAAATTTTAGATGGACTTTATTTATCTTTTAGGGCTTTATCCTATAGTGGGTTGGAAAATAGGAAATGAGACAACATTTGTAGCAGAGGGGAGCATAACAGACACTGGCTCCATCATAGAATGGGCAAAATCATTAGGTAAAGTGAAATAAGTTAGGAAAATAAAATTTAATGCTTACTTATGATGAGTATCTACCCAGACTTGAAGTGAAACTTTTGTTTTATACAGTACTTTAAGAGTAAAACTCACTTTATTTGTATTTACAATTTCATAGGTTTTGTGGATGATGTAGGAGACACAGCTAAAATAGCGGAAAGTGTCCCAGGTAAGTTCAGAACATGTTACAGCTAAAACACGCTTATAGAATGAACACGCTTATAATGAATTGATGCTTACAGTGAAGTAATTTTCATTTTGTGCAACTTTAAATTATATTTTAACATGAACAGCTTTAATGAATTAGGCTTATAACGAAGCAAAATTGTCCATCCCTGACACTTCATTATAAGCGTGTTTTACTGTATTTCTGTATTCCTGTTAACTTGTTTTGTATACATCAACAGTGTAAAGCAAAAGGAATTAGTACCTATAGCATTATAGTTTCAAAGAAATTGATTAAAGTGAAATGGCTTAGATTGTGGAAGCATCTGTACTAACAGTTTGATGAAACAATATTTTGATTGTTGTGTCCCTGTCTCCCTGATGTAGAATTTAGTGAAGACCAAGTTGTCCCTAATGTAGGCTGTAGTGCAGAGAAGAATTGAAACAAAAACTTGTATTGTCAGTACTGTATGTTTGTTGTAAGGTGTACCAGTACTTTGTTGTGATGTAACTTTGTTTTCATGCCCTGTTTGTAGATAGTGACGGGGTCTATTTTGTTGGAGCCTTCAGTGGATTACAGGTAGGAATGACCATGCCTGCACTGCTACAAGTCGAGGGTAAAAAAAAAATTTGCTTTATCTTGCTTGAAGTTTACACTGTTGGGAGCACGACACATAAATACCGGTAATATGAGCTCATGCATTGGCAGAAATTATATACACTGTACATGTTCTATATTTGAATCCATGTCACTGTACATATATAATTACTTAAGTTTATGATATTTTCTGTAAATTTTTTTTCAGGCCCCTATTAATGATGATAAAGCAGTGACTACTCTGATTGGGTTGAAACCCACCACAACCAAAGCTCACATAGTCCGAGCACTCCTAGAAAACTTGGCATTCAGGGTTAAATTACTCTATGAAACCATCTTATCAGAGACCAAAATTCCTCTGTCCCATATCAGGTAGAAACTCCACATTTTAAATTCAAGGGAGCCGACTGGGGTTTTATTGTGTGAAAACTACTATAGAGAAACTCTTTAATTTTACACCATATGTACCTTACATTGACTTCAGAATACATGCCAAATTTAGTGAAAATCTACCGTCTGCTTATTTTTTGGGGACCATCTCAAAATACAGGTTCATTTACTAATAGAATTACATAGGAAATTACCATTTTTTTGTACTTCAGAGCAAATTATACAAATGCTACTATAGATATTTTGCTCAAATTATATTATTTGAAGGGTAATACTATATTGTACATTTTATGTAAGAAACACAAAATTATACCATCTGGTTTCCAGAGGAGGCATCTCAAAATGTCGAAATTCATGATATTTTCCTGTTTTTATGGAGTACAACAAAACTTGACAGATACTTTGTATACAGATTTAAATAAAAAATAATGAAAATGATTGTGAGATTCTCAATTTCCTATGCTTGAAATTTCAAGAACATCTATTTCATACTTTTAATTTTATGACATAATTATTGACCCCGCTTAAAGAACTTCGGTTATTCGTAACGTCAAAAACACAACTATTACATGTACGACGTCTATCTACCCATCCTTTGAAAAATCATTTAAAAAATCAGTTATTTAAAAATGTAATTAGATTTTTTAACCTGAGATTTCCTAAAATTGTTACATTTCATAAATTATGTAAAAATAGTTGCTTTAAAAGAGTAAATACGCTTTATTTTACTATGCTGTGTGAAGTATTGTGCAATGAAAACCCCACTCAGCCCCTTAAGTGTGTTACATTACATGTTCTTGTATATTATGTGGAAATCATAGATTTAATTAAGTCTATGTTGTTTTTTTTTGCCCAGAAATGGTACATGTACAGGTATTTTTTCAGTTTTTATATTTATTAAAGTTACTTTCCTTGTTCAGAGGAGTCTGTCAGTCTCGTATTATGTCTCCCCTTCCAGGGGAGACATATTGTTTTTATTGATTTTCTTCTTCTTCTTCTTCATCCAAATTTTGTCCAGGCCGTAACTTTAATACCCTTTGACATTAAGACTTCAAACTTGGAACATAGATAGATGACATTGAGAAGGAGTGCACGCCACCAACATTTTGACCTTGACCTATTTATAAGGTCAAGGTCAATCTTTTAATTCAAAATAGAGTTCAGCCCATAACTTGAGATTCCTTTGATATTAGGACTTCAAACTTGTAACATAGGAAGAAGACCTTGAGACAAAATGCACTGCATTAGAATTTTGACCTTGACCCATTTCTGCCTTCAAGGTCAAATAGGGAAAAAACACGATTTGACCATAACTTGAGAACCTTTTGACATTAAGACTTCAAACTTGGAACATGCAGAGGTGGTATAAAGGAGGAATGCATGCCACCAAAATTTTTGACCTTGATTCAATTATTATAAGGTCAAGGTCAATCTTTTACATCAAAATAGAGTCCAAACCATAGCTTGAGTACCCTTTGATATTAGGACTTCAAACTTGTAACAGAGAAAGAAGACATTGATACAAGATGCAACACACCAAAATTTTTTACCTTGACCTCTTTTCTTCTTCAAGGTCAAATAGGGTAAAAACTTGATTAGACCATTACTTAAGAATCCTTTGTTATAAAGACTTCAGACATGGAACATGCAGAAGTGGTATGAAGGAGGGATGCATGCCACCAAAATTTTTGACCTTGATCCAATTATTATAATGTCAAGGTCAATCTTTTACATCAAAATAGAGTCCAGGCCTTAGCTTGAGTACCCTTTGATATTAGGACTTCAAACTTGTAACATAGAAAGAAGACATTGTTACAAGATGCAACGTTTCAAAATTTTGACCTTGACCCCTTTCTTCAAGGTCAAATAGAGAAAACATGACTAGACCATAACTAGAGAACCCTGACATTAAGACTTCAAACTTGGAACATGGAGAGGTGGTATAGAGGAAGGGTGAATGGCAACATTTTTTCACCTTAACCTATTAATAAAGTCAAGGTCAGTCGTTTACATGAAAATATAGTCTAGGTCATAACTTGAGAACTTTTTGACATTAGGATTTCAAACTTGGGACAAGGAAAGACAACATTAAGACTAAATGCACTGCATCAAAATATTTGACCTTGACCACTTTCTTCAAGGTCAAATTAAGAAAAACACGACCAGACCATTACTTGAGATCCGTTTGACATGAAGACTTGAAATTTTGTACACAGAATTTGAGTTGAGATGCACTGCATTATTATTTTTGACCCTGATCATATATTTGCACTCGTTAATGTTGGTAAAGAAGGGGAGACATGTGTTTTTTTGTAAAAAAAAAAACAATACCCACTAGTTTTAAAATAGTTTTGATGGGGTTTCTATTTAATTGCATCATTCTGAAAAAGTTGCATGCAGAAATATACATATTTAACAAATTGAATTACACAGAGTGTAAAACTAGAATCAATTTAAGCTGTTTATATTTTATTTGTAATAACTACACTAATGATTACCATTCTATAGATATTTATGAAAAACATTAAGATATTACATATTTATATAAAAAAAACCTATTTATAACAATATATTTACTACTGTACAACTACATTGCATGTCAAACAAAAACTACTCTACGAGTACTACACACCGTCTGAGGATATCTTCAATTATGGCTTTAAAAGACTACTGTGTAATTACATCAAGGATATATTGCTCAAAAACATGCTTTTTAATGAAAAATACATCTGAGATGTTTCTTTCAGGGCAGATGGGGGTGTGTGCAATAATGATTTCCTAATGCAGATGATTGCAGACTTCACCAATCAGACAATAGATAGAGCCAAACAGAGGGCCAACATGACAAGTCTAGGGGCAGCATTCCTAGCTGGGCTAGCGAAAGGTATTTATCTGTATATTTATTAACTGGAATAATTTTGTTCCACTTTTATTTTTCATATTTGAAAATTTCACTTCTCATGGTGTTAAGTTTTATTTGACTAACAGGAAGAATAAAAAGCTCATGCTTACATGTACAGTGAAATTTGGTTATGAAGAACTTGCTTATAAGGAAATTTCAGTTAAAGGAAACATTTTACATTCACTATGTTCTTTATATGGATAAAAAGAAATTCACTAATGAGGAATTAAAATTCAAGGTTCCAGTGACGTTTTTATAACCAAGTTTTACTATGCAGTCATATATATAATAATGTTACTTTGGATAAAAAATTACCAATGTGAAATTAAACCAATGTAATATTTCATCTCTTGGAATACCTTGTCATTTGGTAAAAAAAAATTAAAAGTCAATGATTTTTTTCTTTGCAGCTGCTTTTTGCTTTTTTTTTCCATTAAAGAATATACCAATTTTCTTTTCCATTTTTTTTGTTTGGACTTAAGATGGCTTTGCTGTCAATGTACAGAAATGAATACATGTAGTAGTTTACAGCAAAATTTTCCCTCTCCTTGCAGATTTCTTGAACATTTATCCTGTAACTGCAAAAAAACTTGTTGAAGTTCACAGTATTGAAAATCTTTATTTATGACACAGAAAGTTTTATAAATAATTTTTTTTTGTCTGGATGCTGATATTAGTAAAAAATACTAGAAACACGCACATTGATCCTTAAATGCCTTTCAGTGTACATCATCATATATTTTGAAAATTTTTCCCCTCTGCGTGATTTAGGGATATGGAAGAATAAGTCGGAATTGAGAGAAATCCGTGAATCAGAGACTGTGTTTACAGCAGAAAAAGATGCCTGGCCAGCATACAAGGACAGATTTGTACAGTGGGAGAAGGCAGTCCATCGTTCACGGGAGTGGTACAGTTAACAAAAGAAGACCTACTGCTGAACACATTGTAAATCCCTTACAAATATATTGAAAATCTATGCAGTTCTTGACTATAAATGGGAATATTATATTAATGATAGTAAAAAAAACAATAATTTTATGATAGGTGTATTTTAAAAATTCTCAAGAAAAGTGATATTTTTTACTTATATTTTAAAAGATATATTTATTTTGCTATATGATAACTACTTGTTTGCTGGTATAGTTTATTTACCTATCCCCCCTCCCCCCCCCCCCCCCCCCCCCCCCCGACATCAATGAAGTTGATAGCAACCTTATGTTAAAATATTTAATTACTACAACCCAAAGTGTCATTTATTTAAAAAAAAATATTTTATCAACAACCTTTTTAAGAGCTTAACAACCTTATTGTGTTTTAAAGTGTTTACTGTTGACTAGCATGTGCCATATAAGATTTCTGAGGTTATTGAAAGAACAAATTAAGTCTATGATATCCATATATTCATAGATACAGTTGAAAGGTCAGAGTTATATTACCATGACACTTGAATATATAGTCATACCAGTATATATATACTATTTTATGCTAAAGACCAGCATTAAATTTTAAATCAATTTCCTTTACAACTTTCATTATGTGAACTGTTCCTTTGATGCCCCATGTGTACAACTGTAAATTGTGACAGCATGTACTCCCATTTTATGGTGCCTTCATTATCAGCTCACCTGAGCCAAAGGCTTTTCTGATCAGAATTCATTTGTTTGCATTGTCATTGTTTTAAACTTTTCAGATTTTCTTCTTCAGAATTACTAGGTCAATTTTAATCAAACTTGGTCCAGAATATTTTTTGATAAAAGGGATTCAAGTTTGCTCAGATGAAGAGCCACTCCCTTTTTAGCTCACCTGAGCTGAAAGCTCAAGTGAGCTTTTCTGATCACCCGTTGTCCGTCGTCCGTCCGTCTGTCCGTCCATCCGTCTGTAAACTTTTCACATTTTCGACTTCTTCTCAAGAACCACTGGGCCAATTTTAACCAAACTTGGTACAAAGTATCCCTGGATGAATGGGAGTTTAAATTATTAAAATAAAGGGCCAAGTCCCCTTACAAGGGGAGATAATCAAGAAAAGACAAAAATAGGGTGGGGTCATTAAAAAATCTTCTTCTCAAGAACCACCGGGCCAGAAAAGCTGAAACTTATGTGGAAGCATCCTGGGGTAGTGTAGATTCTCAATTGTTAAAATCATGACCCCCGGGGGTAGGGCGGGGCCACAATAGGGAATCCAAGTTTTACATTGAAATATATAGGAAAAATCTTTAAAAATCTTCTTCTCAAGAATCACTTGGCCAGAAAAGCTGAAACTTACGTGGAAGCATCCTTGGGTAGTGTAGATTCTAAATTGTTAAAATCATGACCCCCGGGGGTAGGGAGGGGCCACAATAAGGAATCCAAGTTTTACATTGAAATATATAGGAAAAATCTTTAAAAATCTTCTTCTCAAGAACCACTTGGCCAGAAAAGCTGAAACTTACGTGAAAGCATCCTTTGGTAGTGTAGATTCTAAATTGTTAAAATCATGACCCCAGGGGGTAGGGAGGGCCACAATAGGGAATCCAAGTTTTTCATTGAAATATATAGGAAAAATCTTTAAAAATCTTCTTCTCAAGAACCACTTGGCCAGAAAAGCTGAAACTTACGTGGAAGCATCCTTTGGTAGTGTAGATTCTAAATTGTTAAAATCATGACCCCCAGGGGTAGGGCGGGGCTACAATAGGGAATCCAAGTTTTACATTGAAAAATATAGGAAAAAATCTTTTAAAATCTTTTTCTCAAGAACCACTGGCCAGAAAAGCTGAAACTTATGTAAAAGCATCCTTGGGTAGTGTAGATTCTAAATTGTTAAAATCATGACCCCCGGGGGTAGGGCGGGGCCACAATAGGGAATCCAAGTTTTACATTGAAATATATAGGAAAAATTTTTAAAAATCTTCTTCTCAAGAACCACTGGGCCAGAAAAACTGGAACTTATGTGGAAGCATCCTTGGGTAGTGTAGATTCTAAATTTTTCAAACAGAACCCCCCGGGGTAGGGCGGGGCCACAATAGGTATTACAAGGGGGGGGAAATCTGGTAAAGAACAGCATGGCCAGAGTTACTCAGGTGAGCGATGTGGCCCATGGGCCTCTAGTTCAATGTTATAAAGAAATAGGACAATTTAGGGGATCATTTGAAAAAAAATACTCTCTCAAATCACTAGCCAGAAAAGAAACTGATGTGAATTAAAGCTTTTATAATGTAGATTTTTATTTGTTCAAATCATGCCTTCCAGAATGTAGGATGGGACCACAGTAGGCAATAAAAGTTTTATATGAGTGTATAAAGGAAATTTTTCATATGTAGCAGAGCTACTCTTAATTGAATCAATATGCAAGCATTATCAAGTTTAGTGTAATCAAGTTTTTTGAAATCATAGACTCTGGGGTTAAGTTGGGGCCTAAAAGTTGATGCATGTTTACAGGAAAACAGATTAAAAAAAAAAAAAACTCTTGTGGAAAAGCAAGGCTATGTATCCCATAATGTGTGGATTCAACTTGGGACCTAAGTGTTTGGCTACAATATGGGGACAATATTTTGAATGTAAATAAAGAGGGAAAAAATCTTTAAAAAATCGGATGATGAAGAACAGCAGGGCCAAAGTGACTCTGGTGAGCATTGTGGCCCATGGGTCTTATTTCAAAATGGATTTTCATGATATGTGAACATATTTTAAGTGCATTTTACTTGACTTGGGAATCAAATTAAGTATTGTCACAAATTATTAAAACAGTGCTTTAAAATACATAAGTGCCAAAATTGTGATATTGACAAATAAATTAACATGAATGATTACTATTTTTCCAATTAACCATCTAGTGGCATTGAGAAATGAGGGTGATTTTTGTATTATGTGAAGCTTTATATTTTTATGTTAATTTCATGCACCATGCTTTACAAACTAGTTCAGTTCAATTATTCTTCTTCTTATTTTTTGGATTTAATTTGCTTGTCAAAAAGTTTGTCTTAGTGTTGATGGTGTATGTCTGTGTATGTTTGAGAAGATGGTGGATGAACTCAGTTTTGACAGTGAAGTGCTTGGAGTTAAACAGTTCACTATTGTCACAGGAAAACATTTTATCTAGTCAGATTAATTCCCTGTGAATTGATGTATTACTAAATTTTTTTTTACTCATTATTTTTTACCTTGGCTTTTATTTTATGAGATTCCATAAAAAAAATAAAGGTAAATACTCAGAAAGGGAGATAATGAAAATGTAATTTGTAATACAACTGTATTTTTGTCTTCAAAATTTAAATATACTGTGTTACTCTGTCTTCCAATGTACATTCCTATCTTCTTTTACATTCAGATGTTGTACATAGTTCTCAATAAAAGAATACTTTTCTGAGAATAAATATTGTAAACAAATTTAGTTTTAGCATTTTTTTTTATACTGTAAAATCACTAATTTTTGTGGGGGTTTAATTTTCATTGTTTTGTGGTATAAAAAACCATGAATTCATATCCCCCATGTAATATGAAAATTTTGCACTAATCAGTAGAACAGTTCTCCTTTAATCTCGAATTCAAATTCCCATAGAATTGGTAATTTTCCTTACACCACAAAAATTTGACCTATCTATAAAAAGTGATTTGCACTATTTAAAATCTACTCTTCCTCAGAAAGTTTCCACATAAGTTTCAGCTTTTCTGGTGAAGTAGTTCTTGAGAAGATTTTTCCTATATATTTCAACATAAAACTTTTGATTCCTTGTTGTGGTCCCACCCTACCCCTGGGGCCTATGGTTTAAACAATTTAGAATCTACAAAACCTCAGGAAGCTTCCACATGTTTCAGCTTTTCTGGCCCAGTGGTTTTTAGGAAAAAGATTTTTCCATTATATTTCAATGTAAAACTTGGATTTCTTATTATGGCCCCACCCTAACTCCGAGTTGCCATAGATTTGAACAATTTAGAATCTACGCTACCTCAGGAAGCTTCCACATAAATTTCAGCTTTTCTGGTCCAGTGGTTCTTGAGAAGAAGATTTTTAAAGTTTTTTTCCCTGTGATTTCAATGCAAAACTTTGATTCCCTATTGTGGCCCCATCCTACCCTCAGGGGCTATGATTTGAACAATTTAGAATCTACACTACCCCAGCATGCTTCCACATACATGTAAGTGTCAGTTTTTCTGGCCCAGTGCTTCTTGAGAAGATTTGTTCATTATATTTCATTGTAAAAGTTGGATTCCCTATTGTGGCCCCACCCTACTCTTGGGGTCATGATTTGAACAATTTAGAATTTACACTATCTCAGGAGGCCTCCACATAAGTTTCAACTTTCCTGACCCAGTGGTTATTGAGAAGATGTTTAAAGATTTTTCTTGTATATTTCAGTGTTAAACTTTGATTCCCTATTGTGGCCCCATCCTACCCAGGGATCATGATTTGAATAATTTAGAATCTAATTAACTACCCCAGGATGCTTCCACATAAGTTTCACCTTTTCTGGCCGAGTGATTGAGATTTTTTAATGACCCCACCCTATTGTTTATTTTAATTTTGTCTTTTTCTTGATTATCTCCCCTTGTAAAGGGGATTGGCTCTTCATTTTAACAATTTAAACTCCCCTTCACCCAGGGATGCTTTGTACCAACTTGGGTTAAAATTAGCTTTAATTCTTGAGAAGAAGTTGAAAATGTGAAAAGTTTACAGATCTATAAGGACGGACAACAAGTGATCAGAAAAGCTGCTCAGGTGAGGTAATAATAGTGCTTGAACATCTTTCATATTCTGCACAAACCAAATAAAATGTATGAACAAATGCACCATAAATGGATTTTGATATTTTTTATTTAAAACAACATTTGTTTACACAAACACATTGCATCAAAACTTTTTGTTAAAATGCTTAACAAGGTCTTTATACAAACTTTGTACCTTCTGTATATACATGACATTAAAAGAACATTTTTTTATCAATTTAATTCTAATCTGACTTGTTCCTATTTCTTTTAATAGCAAACTGAAAAACAATTTCAATCCTGAACATCATGAGCCACATGTACCACAGTGCTTCTCACAAATACTTGTTTGATGTACGAAAACACTTGGTAGGAACTTAATCCATTTTAACTTTCTTGCCCATTTTGCCATGTAAAAGTGGGGACTGAAACGTTTTATAATTTTCTTGCCCTTGTGCCTCTGTACTATAAACATGATAACAGAAAAATGTTGACTTTTTTCCAAACACAGAGCACAGTAACATTTTGTGAACCTTGTCTCTCTGTAACAGTTTCTACTGGTATAATAGCTTGTTCTATTGTCACCTCATAAAAATATCTGTGTTTCTGAAGCTTGAATTGTCCCTGTAATAAAATAATAAAGCAGTCATAATTTACGTGTAATTATAACATGACTTGTATAAAAACTGATGGTTTTACATCTATATTTTATCTAACTGGTGTCATGTTTTTAAAAAAGCAAAAAAAAAAAAAAGGTTTTGTATTAAGTTTGAACTCATGTGGATTTGCATATTTGATGTTCTTAACAATCATTATAGAAAGAGCAATGTTTCCGTGTACTGTGAAATTCTATGTATTTGTGATGTCAAGTTTTTGTGGATCGTGGGAAAAAAAATTTTGTGGAGTTTTAATTTCACGACTGAAGAATTGTAAAGTCATTTCATGGAGGATATGAATATTCATGGTCTCTTTTCAAACCATAGAAGCAATAAAAAATCTTTTTTTTTAATGTTATTGCTTCTTAAATTATTTAAGTTCAGTTTTTCTATTTCACACAATCTTTTTGAATTACTTTTAATTCCATCATGTATAACACTGAGTTTGGCAGGGATCAACTGTAATGTAACTTACTTGATGCTATCATTGTGCGTCTTGTACTCCATGATTGTATTGGGTGGAAGGTTGAGAACACGTTTTAGTGTGTCCCTAATTCTGGACGTGGTCTGTTGATCGCTGGCTGTTCTGTTCCACAGGGACAAAATGTCCTCCTGGCAAGTAAAATTATATTAAGTGAAGATTTAGATAACAGTAAAACAGGGTGGGATAGCCCTTTTTAAGAAATTGATGCTATAAATACAATGGCAAGTTACTGTAATGTCCTAAATATTAGGGAAGACTCTGTGTAATTTCTGGAATATTTAGTAGTTACAAAGGTAAACCTTAATTGTCAAAAATCAGGAGTTACATATAACCAGGGATGGGGTAATTGAAAAAAGTAATTGTAATTGACTGTAATTAATTATTTTTTTGAAGTAATTGGAAGTAATTTGTAATTGAACATTTTTTCAATTACTTGTAATTGTAATTTAATTAATTACACTGAAAAAATGCCATGTAATTTCAATTACTTTTTCAATTACATTCAATTACTTTATATAATACACATTCATGATATATTCATGATATATCGTCACCACTACCTCCCCATTTTATTGGTTTTTATTTTATGTTAAACATATCCTCAATCCTTCAATTATACAAAATCTTACTAGGTTAATGATTACCAAAAAATAATTAAATGATTGGCTTGATAATAATAGTTTCTTTCTAATCATTATGTAAATTTTGAATTTTTGGATCTATGTTTATAAATATGAATTTTGAACAACCCTTCTTAGGTCTATTCAGCTATGAAACACACATTTATTATATTTCAATCTTTGTTGTTTGATTAATAATAAAGAAGAAGAAGGTGTGTCATTAATTAAGTTCTCTCTTGTTGGGAAGAGATAATTGCCCTCCAGATCACAGATGTAAATTGCAATCAAAACAAATCAACTCCTCTAAAGATATATTCACTCCATGATTTAGAAGACAAAGCCAATGGAGATAATCATTTCAATTTAAAATGCTTCGCTAGCTTTAGAAAAGAAAAACTTTCAATTTTATAATTATTTTAACATCTAAACAGATTTTAATGAATGAATTAAATTTCTATCTGTACAATTCTGATTTATGAAGTAAAATTGTTCAACATAAATAGCAATTTAGGATGTTCGGGTTACCTTCAAAGGAAATATTTAATTTGTAGGGGTTACAGTTGCGACTCATTTCACTCTATTAAAATACTCACTTTTAATCAAATATCATAAGCCATGCAATTTGTGTACACGTAGGTTTTGTGTGGTGGAAACTGCATCAAACTGATCTCAGATAGTTCTTTAAGAGATTCTTATTGTTTTGTAAATAAATGTTGCAAATTAAACCAGAATGATACACAATGCCTATAGCATATTATTTCTTGTACTGTTTGTGCAGAGGCTGAGCTTATATACAAATAAATGATGTTCTGTATATTCATTGACAAGGATTATAAAAATTTTCAAAAAAATTAAAAATGTAATTTGTAATTTAATTAATTACTTTTGCAAAGTAATTGTAATTTAATTAATTACATGTCTTAGAAAGCATGTAATTTAATTGTACTTTAATTGAAGAAAAAGTCAAAGTAATTGTAATTTAATTAATTACTTTTTAAAGTAATTGACCCCATCCCTGCATATAACACATCATTTCCAAAGGGGAATTTCTAAAAGGTTATTCATTCTTTTCGGATATGTGTACATGTAGGTAAAATGCTCACATCTAATACTACTAGATGATAATCTCACCCAAAACTGGTGTGTCTGAAACCATGGAAACTTTTAATTGTTGTCAGTAATGAAAATCATTAAAAGAAACCATATGATGGCATTCACCATTGCTTCACAGAAGGATACTTGGACAAAATGACTTGGTACTGTATAGAGATGACGACCTCACCATTAATGTACCTGATATCATATTGAGATGACAACACCACAATTAACATACCTGGTATCGTATTGAGATAATGATAGCACCATTAACATACCTGATATCGTATTGAGATTATGAGAGCACCATTAACATACCTGATATCGTATTGAGATGACCGCTCCACATATTTCCTCTCCTACCATAAACTGTTCTCCCAGCATGGCTAGTATTAAATTCTCCCAACACCGTGAGGCCAGGCCTTTCTTAAGTCGAACAATCCATTTACCTCCTTTGTTATTTGCTGAATCCTTCCAAGTATGAATAACAAAATTACAAAAGGTTACTAAAATGTCAGTTGTTGTTTACAGTGTAACAGCCAATATGCTCTGAATACTTTTTGACATTTTAAGGTACACTGTACATTTATATCAAACTTAGGGCATTAAACATATCTAAAAAGGGGAAAAAATTCTACACATTATCAAACTTAGGGCATTAAACATATCTAAAAAGGGGAAAAAATTCTACACATTATCATAGATGTGTATAACTGTATAAAGAGGGCTGTGGGGTCTTGGCCTAAAATGCTTGGAAAAGAAGAGTTGTGTATTAAAATTAGGAGAGTCCAGACTATTGAAACATTAAATATTATAGCTGGAAATGTTTTTTTTTCCCTTTTACAAACTAATTTTTTACGCTAGAAAAATCACATTTCTTATTTAAGTGGACTGATTTTTTGACCACTCAACCTCCTTAATCTGTACCTAGCTGATTACACATTTTATTTTTGTTTATGAATTTACCTCCCACATTGGACGAATTCCTTCCTTAAACAAATGATAATCACTATGCCCTGTTAAATCACTAGGCCGCACTATGTGAGCATAATACTTCCAGAACTGCTCCACCTGAAATACAACAATAGTTAAATTTATGTGTACAATTAATGTGATAAAATAACAAATGTTGCATTAAAATTGTTAATTTAAAAAAATTTTATTACACTCTTTTAATATTATTTAAGGGGGAAAAAAAGAAACTGTGATGAACGATAAAAAAAATTGGAGGATGGTGGAAGATGTTCCTAACCACATACTAATACAACTGTAGGCTATATATCATATAAGTACATGTATGTGCAAAGAATTTCAATGTATAAGAGTGTATCAACAACAAATTTATCTTAATTATCCAAACTGTCCAATGTACATGTATTCAACACCTCTCCTGATGGTTCTTCATCCTAAGAAAATAGGGAACCTTCTCCACTGGCCGGGGCCATGACATTACTGTATACAGCTTCTATATTTAATAAAATACTTACCGATGCAAATGTTCCCACAAGTTTGAGATTTTGGTCATAACTAGTTGCTGTAGAGTGTTTTCCTGGGGCTTTCCTGGAAAACCACAGGGAGTAGTTAAACTGTAGAGGGTGCTCCCCAGGGCCAGGCTTCTGCAGAGGAAAGAAAAATTTCATTGAACATGTATACAAAACTTTGTAAATAATTACTGTGATGTTGATATTTAGTGTGACATGTATATCTGAATATTATATTATATAGTTACACTGTACTGGTGTGTTGTTGTGTAAAACAGAAATCCAATAAAAAGCTAATGTTATCACCTTTTTTAAAGCACAAAAAAGTTCATAAAATGAATATACTTGTACAAGAAAAAAACATGTATGCAAGGAAATAAAAATATTAGGAAACCCATATCAAAAAATAATACATAAAAGTATATTTTTAATATATTTTTAATACAATCATTTTCGTATTGTTTAAAATTAATACAGAAAAAATATATTATTTTTGTATCACCAACAAATAGGTAGATTATTTTTGTATTAAAATCTGACTTTGATTTTTTACAGGGTATTATTTTTGTATTTTTTGGGACTTAGATTATTTTCAGTATATCATTTTTGTATTTTTGTGGACTTAGTTTTTTTCAAGTGTATTTTTTCTGTATTAAAATTGAACTTAGTAATTTTACAGAAAATTACATACAGTTAATCTGTATTATTTTTGTATTAAAATTGAACTTAGTAATTTTACAGAAAATTACATACAGTTAGTTTGTATTATTTTTGTATTAAATTTGGACTTAATAATTTTTCAAAAAATACTTTACAGTCAGTATGTATTTTTTTTATATTTATTTTGGACTTAGTGTTTTCTTTTACTGAAATTTGTATTTCTTTGAACTTAGGAAAATTTACAGAATGTCCTTGCAATAAGTCTGTTGGAATTAATATTTTTTCTCAGATTTTATTAATTAAGACCACTGCTATAAAGGTTGCTTTTATACTATTTACATTTAATTGCTATTTAGAACAGAAAACTTCAGTAGTTTAAATTTGTTAACTAAACAATTTCATTTTTAAAACATGTCTTTACTAGGTGTGAAATTGTCATTTGGAAAGAGATAGATACGTCTGAGGGGACACCTGTGCTGTACATGATACTTGTAAACACGCGGTAAATTTTGAAGTTTCAGAGCTTCAGACTTTCTTTTTGTGTTGAAAATTTTACAGCGTGTTTACAACCGAGTGTTTACAACTATCGCCAACAGCACAGGTGGCCACCTGCAGGCTAACAATAGACGAGTACATGTTATACTACTCAAAGAAATAACATGATTTACCCGTGAAAACACATCCCAACCAAAACAAAAACAAACAACATGGAGAGTTCCACTAATTACAGTACCTACGATGTTTTCTTGACTATACAACTCAATTTAGTATACATTATATTTAATTCATTACGTATTACAATTACATGGAATAGAACTATTTAATTATCCACTTTTAAAAAAAAAGAAGAAATTATTACGAAAGAATTTCATAAAATAATATAGAAAATGTTGTGAAATTGGTGTAAAGGATAGTTGTTAAACATTATTTCAATCTCTGGTACCGTATGTATGAGTTAAGTTGTCCGTCAAAAAGGCTATATATTATGTATCTCCCGCTCGTTTTGATCATTATATTTGAACTTTATGGTCTACTTCACAGGTCAACTTGAATATAAAAATGGCTGCTCTCAGCGGAAATGATGACCGGAAATAACGATGTTTCGTAATCGGTAAATTCCGTAAGGAATAAAAAAAATGATTCTGATGATTAAATTGAACATCGTTTTTTCTAACATAATTTTAGGTTTATTCAATTGATTCAAGATATTTAAAACCATGTAAATATGTTTTCTCTAACTGTTCCGATCTCAACATCGGTAATTTTCGTATATATGACACAATATGATTGGTCAGATTTTAAAACTCTACCGTGCTGTTCTCTGATTGGTCAACAATATTTCACCCACGCCATTTTGAAAATTCTTCCCGGGACGTGTAGAGAAAGCTGGAGGTGATTTTGAATAAACTCTCATTTGCTCGCGAGTAAAATGGATCGAAAAACAGAAGTTCAGCATAATCATGGTACACAGGATCATATATATGAACCAAGAAGAGCAAATACATAAGGAGACTGACGTTTTTTAGGCATCATATCCGGACTTTTCTGGTGTAAACAACGACAGTTGCGGTAAGATTATATATATTTTAGCACATTAAAGTTTCAGTTTTTTAAATAATAACTTAGTACAAAGATAGAGGAACAAAGACTGCCTTTTTACCCATTTTGTAGTATTGTTGAAAGATAAAATAGTACGGTTATTGGCCATGTGGGGAACAAGGGTTTTTGTGATAAATTCTGATTGGGGAGGGAGGGGTGGAAGATGGGGGTAATTTTCAAGCCTTTGGCTTCCTAGTTCTAATTCATTCCAATTTTTTCAAGTTTACCAGAGACGAATTATTTATTTTCCCTTCAAAAACAATTCTGTAATTTGTATAAACTCAAATTTTTTCGGGGGGGGGGGGGGTAGGTTGGGTTCGGGAGGGGGGGGGCAGTTTATTTAAATAACATTGGGGCACACATTTTGTTTACTCTTTCAACATTTTCAAGGACAGATTGTTTATTACAAATATTTTTTTAAAAATATTTTATAAATCAGCCCCCCCTTTTCTTCTCCAGATTGTCAAATCAAATGGTTGTCCCCTAAGAAACCCCAGATTAAAGAAAAGTAATTTCAATGGTACAATTGTATGGAATTTGGTGAACTCCGCTGGATCTTTTGGAATTTCAATTTATAATTATTGTTAATTTCAGTCAGCCGAACATTGAAGAAAAGCTGACAAGTCATGGAGGAAGAAAATCCCTCTCAAGAAAGTATTGCAGGTGTGTGAGCTAAACAAAATCTATATAGAATTATTTTGAATGTTAAAATGTGTGTTTTGTTGAGATAATGGTTCATTAAATTTTATTATTATATCATTCTGTTCTATATTTCACAGTGATGAAGTCAGATGAGATGACAGGTTGTGTGATTTGAAGATGGACTTCTGCAACAAAGTAAACACTCCTCTACCTTTTCCATACAAAAGAAACAGCAAAGCAGAGAGATCGAAACATTTGGTAAAAGTACAAAGAAAACAGGATTAGTTAAATTTGTGAAAAATATCAAGACTATTGAAGAGCAGATTACATGTAAAAAGAAAGATCAAGACTACAGTTGGTAGCTGAATCAGTAGCCTAGCCACATTAATTACTTTTTAATTAGCTATTTGTACATTTAAGGTAATCTGAGTTACTAAAATTGTTATTTAACAAATTTTTCAAATAAATAAAAGATTTTTGAATAACAATCAATAGATGCTATTAAGAACCTTAATCTCCAACCCCTTTTCTTCAAATAACAATTTTTGCCCATGATCATTTTAGTAGTTTTTAAAACTCTGTTTTGTATTATTTTAAGCATTTAAATGTATTTTTTGTCTATCATTCTTGTACTTTTTTGATATTTTTGAAATACAATCCTTCATGCTGATAAAAATACAAAAACAATACATATTAATACAAAATTAATACATTCTATATTTTTTTCATACTTTTACGTGTACTGTATTATTTTCATATTTTATATCTTTTTTGTATTTTTAATTGTTCCAGATGAAAAAATACAAAAATAATATATGTGATACAAAATTAATATATTCTATATTTTTTTTGTATTTTAATTCTTAAAGGTGAAAAAATACAAAAATAATATATGCTAATACAAAATTAATACATTCTGTATTTTTTCTATACTTTTCTATGGACTGTATTATTTTTATACTTTGGAGAGGAAAATAGAGAAATAATACAAAAGTACAAAAACAATACATTTTTACAGGTCATGTGTATCATTTCTGTATTATTTCGAAAAAATAAAGTATATTAAAAATATATTTTTCTGTGATTGGCTTTTAAAAAGTCTATTATTTTTGACCTAAATTGGAACCAAGATTTAGAGGGTTCCAAATTTGGTCATTAAAAATATACTTTTTTTGTATTATTTTAGTATTTTTTTCTTGTATTATTTTTGTATTCATTTTCGATATGGGAATGGTTCACCATTTCAATTTTGTTTAACAAGCTTCTAGTCTTGGTCAAAAAGTGTACATTTACTTTTCATTCATGAGTGAAGATTGACATATTAATTTTCAGATTACATTTATATTTCCTCTCCTTTTCACTTACAGGTGACTTTCAAGAGTGAAAATTGCAATATTAACCATGTGTTAATATTTTAATTGTCAAATAACTGTCTGTATTTCCTCTCCTCCAGACTTGAAGGAAACGGTCTTTCATGAGTGATAATATTCTATCATTAATAAGTAATATAATTTTAATTCTCCAGTAACTGCCTATAGACTTACAGGAGAGGGTCTAGGAGGGTCCTCTGCTTCATTCCTCTGATCATTGTCCTCCTCTCCACTGTCTTCTGTTTTTAAACTATAATGTAAAAATATCTTAATATTAAAAACAACTTACATGTACAGCTGTAATACCAACATTCCATTGTAAGACTATAAAGTAGGATCATCTGAAATTTCTTCTTTAGTTTTGTCAAACATAGCATCTGAAGCACTATTACATGTATTTTTAAAATCAGTGCTTTATAAAGATGTGAATCTACAAATAAATCACAGATAAACTCAAGAAAATTATCTATGATGAATAAAACTTCGACTGAAGCAAAGCAGTGAAATTTAACAATTATGAAAAACTTATATCCAGTTCACTCTAAATCAAAATTCTTCTTGCTATTTACATAATGTGCAATAAGAATTTTTGGCTATATAAACAATGGAAAATGTTAGATGCAGAAAAGAATATAATGCAGATGACTTTATGCAAAAGCTTTCATCGGAAACAAAGTGTATTAAACAAAATAAGGAATAAATATATGTGATCTAAATAATTCTTATTAGTTAATTTGATGTTATTTGAATCTTAAAATGAACATTGGCCAATAAACATTAGAGGCAAAAAGATCATCAAATCAATCACATATGGAAATCAAAGCCGGGAAAAATATTTTTGTTTTCTAAGACCTTAAAAAGACTGAATTGGTAAAATATGAAACATATTTGATATAAATATTCCATACCCATTTTCATTATCCTCAGCCGTAGAACGTAAAACGTCAAAAGATTTGATTTTTTGTGGCATTTTTACACAATATTACACGTGTCTGTACGAGTGTAAACAGTCAGGCAATTCGGAAATCTGACGTCACAAGCACAATAAGGCTTCGCCTGATTTAACACTCCTTCAATGCACAATGCCTGTCGCTTGATCTTACACAAAGAATGCACTTATTTTAAATTACTTTCTGCAGTAACCTAAAAAAAGAAATACAACATGCAAAGCTTTAAAACGTGAAATACTCACGCATCAAATTTGTTGTTCATGGTTTCTATATTTATTAATGTACTTCCGGTTTCACTTTTCATGAGGGTTGTAAGCTAAATTTTGATTCGTTACAATCTCATGCAATCTTTGAAAAAATTTATTTCATTGGACAGGACTGTAAATAGATGAAACATGGCAGAGATCAGTACAAAACAGAAGTTGCTTTCACTCATAGAAGATGTTGAGCTCATTTCTAAGTATTGAAAAGAGTTGAATCTTAATTATGATTTTTTTTAATGATATGTAAAGCAAAATTTGATGAATTAGATATGATAAAAGTTACACCTGCAGTGCAGCAAAAGGAATTCACATGTTTCATTATTTCCATCACAATGTATAGCTTAAATAGCTACACAGCTTATTAAGCTAGTGTATTCAAGATAGACTGAAGCTATTTTAGTGCATTTGTGCAAATATTTTTTTAATTTGTGTAAAAGTTATGAAATTCAGTCTGGAGGGCATATGAAATATCGAAATTTAATCCTCAATTGTTCATTTACACAAAAATATGATTCTGTATCTAGTTAGACAAAGAAAAAAAATTGTGAAATTTAGAGTCGAAATTGGAATTATCTCATCATTTTTTAATGTTCTATTTATTTTCCAGGGAACTGTTTGAAGTGGCAGCTACACCAAAGGGTCAACAAAAGCCAGATGCAATGGATTCTGTAACTTTGGTTGAGTTGGTCACAATGAAAGACAAAGAAATTAAAGAAACTTTAAAATTAGGTATCAAAGATCATTTTTAATTAATTACTTGATATATATAAAGTTTTCTGCACACTTTGTTTTCAAAGTGCTGTACGTATTTACACCCACAGAATTTTATTAAATACACTAATATCTATTCACCTTATTTTATTGTAAATCAAAAAGCTCATGCATTATGCAGTTATTACCAGTATTGAACATTTTTGATATATTGGTGCATTGTAAATTGCATATAAACATGAAAAATGATCACATAATTTTCGAATATGCTTTATATGGTATGCTCCATCAAATCTAATAATGTAGCAGCTGGGTATTTGTTGTCTCTTTGAAATTAAATTTGGAATTGACCAAATTGGGAATTTATCAGGTACAGTTAGAGAGAGATCATTTGAAAAGATAGGTATTTCATGTATTCGTTACCTACATTTTTTAAAGCTGCGGAACAAGCAGAAATCCAGAAGACCATAGATGAACTGAGGACAGAGGTTGACAAAAGAGACGCAGAGATCAAACATTTACAAAAGAATCTCAAAGAAGCAGAAACTATTCTGGTATGTGACAAATATTTTCCATTTTCAGTAATTTTAAAATCATACAGTTCTATTAATGAATATTTATGCTGTGTATGATGTACCAAAATATTAATAACAATTTTGATTCTGTTTTCAGTTTTAGTTGTTATCATTTGTTGAGAATTGTATATCATCTATATTTTACAGTCTACTGCAATATATCAAGCCAAACAGAAATTGACAGCTATTAATCAGGCAAACAAAAAGAAAATCTCATCTGAAGAACTGATCAAGTTTGCCCATAGAATCAGTGCCAGTAATGCTGTAGCTTCACCACCAACATGGGCCCCAGGTATGTACATGCTCATAAAATCAGTGACAGTAATGTTGTAGCTTCACTGCTTCATTACTAACATGGGCTCCAGGTATGTACATGGCCACAGTATCAGTGACAGTAATGCTGTAGCTTCACCACTAACATGGGCTCCAGGTATGTACATGTCGAAAAAATCAGTGCCAATTGTAGCTTCACCACTAACATGGGCCCTAGGTACATACATGCCCTCAGAATCAGTGCCAGTAATGCTGTAGCTTTACCACCAACATAGGTCCCAGGTATGTACATGCCCATGGAATCAGTCCTAGTAATGCTGTAGCTTCACTGCCAACATGGGCCCCAGGTAGGTACAGAAATGTCGCATCTCGGTAGGGGTATGACAAGATAGGATCTGAAATCTTATAGAAGTTTGTTAAAAAGTTAAGTACCAAGTCTTAAATATATGCAGGTCAATTAATTCGTCATAAAACATGTCCACTGTATTTTAGTATATGTTTGCTTAAATTAGATAATAAATGTAGTCAGTACATGTATATTTGTTTTAATAGTTTCTCAGACATGACCTATACATGTGTAAGACCATTTTGGTGCTCTAGATATATGTTGTAATATGCTTGTACAATTTTTAATTTCAAATCTCAGAAATATCATAGGGTTACAATATTTTCCTTGCTATAACCCACCAAATATGAAATTATGAAAATGTAAACTGTTCATGAGTTGACTTATTTCTATTAATATGTTTACATATATTGTAAAGTAATCCTTTGATTTTTTTCTTCTCTTTTTCACACATAGATTATCAATATTTCAATGATTTTATGAAAGCATATTGAATGAAACTTTCTTTCACTAGTCCATGACATTAAGGAAAAAATTTGTTAGTCACAGATTATTCTTTTCCAAAGGTGATCCCAGAAGGCCCTATCCTACAGACTTTGAAATGAGACTTGGATTTCTAGGAAAAGCTGGTGATCTCCCCTTAAATACCCCTGTTTTGCAATCACAAGGCTCCTATGGGGATCCTATATCTAGTAACAGGAGTGGGGCTCAAACAGGTCAGTATAAATAATGTGTATGAAATACAAACATTGATTTATTTTTTACAATGAAAATTTTTCACTAAATTGGCTTGTCATATTCAATTGTTAAATACAGAGTTGTCTCTCTTTAACCTCTATAAAATGGGGAAAACTTAAAAATACAAAAGAGGACCCATTTAGTAGGGATTATGCATTTTTTTTTAATAGATGGTACTCCTACTTCATCCTCGGGGTGGCATTCATCAACAGAACTTGGTCTGGGGGCCAGTGGGAGTCACATTTTATCAGACATGAAAGGACACAAAACAGAGACAGAGGACGTGGGTTTCATGTCCAGTGACTCGTCCAGTAGTAGTTTATCCAGTGATGAATAAAAACTGTTATACCTTACTGTTGTGTCTTGTTCCTTATTTAAGACTCCTCTTCAGAATATTGATGTTTTACAGCAGCATATTTCACTGTCTGTGTGAGATGCTGTGTGTCAGTTTGTCTGTTTATACATTTGTTGTTTGACAGGATAACTCCAGAATTTGTTAATCAGGGTAAGGACTTCAAATTCACTATATAGACGAGGGATTAATTGTGAGTTTCATTAATTGTATTTAAAAGGTGAAGATAACAAACAGAAATCAATCTTAAAAAGCAAAAACAAACTACAAACAATACAAATTTGTGACAATCTAATTAAAATTAGATCTTTGATCCGCTCCAACTTTGTGTAGCGATCTAGTTGGAGCAGATCGAAGATCTAATTTTAATTAGATTGAATTCATGAATAGGGAATATATATGTGTGTGCCTTGAGAAGGGAGAGGAAAATGTCTAACCAATGAAGGCACATGTAGCAGGCTTAGCCGATTTTAATATATCCAAGTGAATTTATAGTGTTAAAACTTTTTAACATTTGTAATAAAACACTATATTGATTCAGCTAAATAAAATTGACTAGCAAAGGCAAGGTTTTCTACCTAAACCTTGACTAGTAATTAAAAGAGAATTTCCTATACCTCATCTCTTCTTTTCCTATTTTCTTTTTATCAGGCTAGAATATAGTATACTTCACTGTAAAAATGAATTTGCACTTCTGTAAATGAGATATAAATTAAAATTCTTCAGCTTAATACTGTATCCTCATGGATTTTTTATCCAATGGAAAAAAATATATTACATTACTAACGTTTATTGACCATTTTAAAATTATTTTATTTTATTTTATTTTATTGAAAGCTGGACCATAAAGTTTTACCTCAGACTAGCTATACGGATTCTATGACCGTTACGTTTTTCGCATTTAACATAAATCCGGATTTGGGCCCCGTGTTGGTTAGATATTAGAATCTCAAGGCCACTTGCATTCAAGGTCAAGTTGAAACCAACCGGCAAAGGAAGAATATTGTATTTTCCATTGGCTAGGAAAAATGGCCAAGTACACATTAGTTTGTGTGCGTCACGGAGAAAGCGAGTGGAATAAGAAAAATCTTTTCTGTGGTTGGCATGACGCTGACTTGTCTGAGACTGGAATTGTTGAGGCACAAAATGCAGGAAAGGTAAAAACTCGAGTTTTCTCTATTCAACAGGTCTGGTACAGACACTAGATTTAGCTACGTAGCTTGAATTACCTACATAGCTTTACCTACCTACCTGAAGTAGCTTTAATTAGCTACCAATTCAAACTTATTTCTTAAATTAGAATTTTTCTCGGATGTCATGGATGTGCAGAAAATTGCACTTTGATGCAGTGATAATTTTCAACTGTAAACTCATCTAAAAACAATGCATGAAAAAATCACTCTTGGAAGTGTGTTTTTTCTGCGCAATTGCAGTCAAAGTTCTCCAAGTTTTGGGGCTATATACAACAGTTAATTTGTGACCAAACAGTTACTTCTTGAATGAAATAACAAAGAAAACCAGTTCTGGTTAACATGATGATTGGTAAATATTCAGCAGAATGTGAAGTAATCATACTTATCCATGCCTCACCAAATGCAGAGTTGTTTACATTTACTCAAACAATTTGCTTAAAAGGGATCAAACGCAGCAATGTTTAAACTATCTCTGCTTTGGATTGCTTTTTTAAAAAACCGACGTAATATGCTGACAGTGCGATCGTTGGAGCAAGCACAGATACACCTTTTTTGTGTATTATTTGCTATTTAATTAGACCCGTCTCTAGGTCCAGAAATTACTGTGGAAAATAAAATCATTTGGATCAATGTGCAAGTCCGAATTTTCTCTTCG